TATGTAATTTGTATCTACAAAGCGAAAGTATGTTTTGAAATCCAAAATCTGTTTATCAATTTCACCCAGCGGATTGGAAGTTAATCTGTCAGCACTATCCTTATCTTCAGGGTAGATGTTTTTATTTTATTTGGTTTATAATTCCGTACTAAGTGTAGTATTTCATCTCGATGTCTTCCGTCTTTGATATGATTTAAATCAAGTTCCTCGTCGTCATAATTCGCTTCCGATAGTGAAGAAAGTGACCCAGAGGTTATTGAAAACGAAAACATTTCGATTGACAAATTAGTTGGTATTCTCAACACAGCAATTATAGGACTTGAACAGCGGAACTTTGTAACTAAACAAGAAATTATGTCTGTTTAATAGAATTAAAGAGAAAGTATTATCACATGAAACGAAGCAACTTACATTGAAGGAAATGTTTAATAAAGTAAACAAATAAATATTAAACTTTTCCTTTTTATAAATTTTGATACCCTTTAGATCATAATTGTTCTTTATTTCATAAATTACGGTTTCATATTTTTAATTTTGTAATTTCTGCATGCCATCTTACCAGATTTAAACTGATGATCTATAATCCGGAAAAATCGATAATCCGGAATCGCCGAAGTCCCGAGGAGTCTGGATTAACGACTTTTGACTGTATCTGTATTTCAAACAATGCAAATTTCTGATATCCACTGGTTGAATCATGGATGTAGTTGCAAAGAAAGAATAAAATGCAGATGTTATCTTTACTAAAATATTTAGATAAGATTAGTAATAACAGATTAGACATGTTTAAGTAAATGAAATTTAAGTTGAAGGATACCGGCAGGATGTTGGACAAACCCCGTTTTGGCAGGCCATCGGTTAGTGATGAGTCTGTTGAGGCTATATGGAAGTTACCTTAAGAAGCTGTTACAAACTGCAGCTGTTATACGCTATCAAACCGACGGATAGACCGAAACGATTTGCATTTGCTACAGATATGCTTCATGATATTTACAATGATACCCAATTTCTGCAAAAGATTGTGTTTACCGATGAGACGACATTCCATGTTAGTGGACATGTTCATTGCCATAACATTCGAATATGGGCTCCTGAAAATCCTTGTGCCTACGTAGAGTAAGAACATAACAGCCCTAAAGTGAACGTGTAGTGTGGCCTGATGCAAAAGTGATAGGACCATTTTTCTTTGCGGAGTAGACTGTGATGGCATGGATGGAGCCCACATTGAACTGCACTGAATTGGTATGAAACTTAAAGAGGTTTTCTTTTGTTTGGTGAAGATTTCACATTTCTTGTTTTCTTGCTTTCCTGTGACCGAACAAAAGTGCACCATGACTTTACAGATGCACTGTACATATATCAAAGATTTTGACTTAATGGTTATTACAGTGGATATCACTTAATAATCACTGCCTTATAAAATCAAAATTCCAGGAATGAATTTAAATACAATATCACTACAAAATAACCGGTTAATAAAATTAACACTACTGCTTATAAAATACAAATCACTTTTAAAATTGTAAAATCAAAAACAACAAGTTTGTGTTTCAAGTATAGCAATTTTGTTCAAGTCCACTCACTTTTGCACATGGAGGTGCAAATATTCGAACTTTCTTATAAGGAATTGTCAAAAACCATGAAAGTGTTTCAAAGCCAGCGATTTCATTCAAGGCCAATTCACACACGTGGAGCTGCAAATGCTAGAATTTTCTTATCTGGACCAATCCTGTTTGGGGGTGAGTGGGACGATGTTTGTCAGAACTGGCTTAGAGCAGCTGGGAGAATCTATATAGAAAACTGTATTTTTTTCCCCTCATATAGTTCGTTCAGTTCACCCATCCACATTGTGCTTTTATTGTTTGGCTGTAACTCAAAATGTCCAAATGGAAAGAATAAAGCTTAAGATAAAGAACTGTTGAAGCAATAGGATGCTATACCAAAATCAGAGACAACAAAGGAATTAGTGAAAATGTAAGTGAGTCCGAAGATGAAAATCCTGGTCCTGTACCAGCAGCAGCAGTCTCGACAAGCACTAAAAATTGCTGAGACTGCTTGAACTTAAAAGTGGAGGAACAGAAAGTTACAAGCTATGTTGTGTCTTAAAGACCGCTGTTGAAATGTTACTAACAGGAAACATGCAATTAAATGTACTGATTTGCATAACATGTTGAAATTTTTCTGAATTAAGACAGCTTTTATCATCTACGGAAAAAATAATGAAATTTTTAATAAAAAATACATAACTTGCATATTAAACAACATATCAAAAAAGAGTATTAATTTCAACAGCAGGGCCATATGAAAGGAGAGAGGTTTAGGTATGTGCACATTCCAATCAAAAATTTATTGAAATCTTATATAAAGTAAGTCTTTAAAAATAGAGAATCTCCCACTCTGAAAATATTCTCTGATGTATTCCCCTATTTGAATGAAATCCTGCATTCAACCCAGCACCACATACAAAACTCAACCACTTATTACAATCAACAGACATGATCATATTAAGCGCATACTTGCCAACCTATGACACTCAAAAATCCAGAAATTTTTTTAAGAAATCAGGAGATTTTTCACAATGTTAAAAAGACTTTTTAAATGATAAAAATATAGTTTTTAATTATGAATTAACTTTGAATAGTAACTAATTCTTAAATGCAAGCAACACAAAAATGCTTTACACATAAAAAACATTTTTATTACTTGCATCATTTAAGATAAGAAAACAAAAAAGGTGGGGACTCTTTAATCAGTTTTCGTACAAATGTTATGAACAGTGGCAGATTTTGATTGCGTTAAGAAATTTCATAATTTTGTTCATAGCAATTGCCGTTCTTCTAATGTGCCATCACCAATATTAAATCTAAATTTAGTCCTTGTTTTTGCAACAACACTGAAAATCATTTCACACTCTGCATTACTATGGGAAACTGTCAAGATGGCCAATATAATTCTAGACATTTCACTATGTTTTAAAATTCCATCAGCACCTTTCAGTTTTCCAATTAAACTCCACCAGGTGTCAATCCTAGCTGATTTCATAACTTCATCCAAGTTTTCTAATTGTAAACTGCTGTTATGCAGCTGTTGGAACTGTTTCAATTTTTCCTTCCTTTTAGAACTCCTTTCAAGATAACAAATATCAACAATGTGTTCATCCAAATTTATTGGTAATGAAGCTGCCCCTTTTTCAGCTGCTAAATTTAAGAGGTGACGTGTGCACCTCATAATCTGCAAATCTGAATTTTCCTTTCTTAAGATGCCTGCAACACCAGTCTTTCAAGCCTACCAATACTGGTGCATTATCAGCACCAAGTGCTAAGCTGTACTATATTAATAATTAGCTGTACTATATTAAAGCCTGTCAAATATCCCACTAAAGTGGAGACAGAAAGTAAACTGCACTCAATTTCTGAAGATTCTGGATTAAAATCCATATAACGAATTCATATTGTTCATATAACGAAGTATTAAGCCAAGTTCCATAAAAATCGTGAGAAATTTTAAGAATAACAAAATGTCGGGAGAAATATATTGAAATCGGGTTGGCGGGAGAGCGGTCGAAAATCGGGAGAGTTTGCAACTCTGTAAGCGGTATCCAATGTACAGGTGAAAGTAATCAAAGTTCTTAAAACGCATGATTATGCGATTCTGTCCTACATACATGAGATAAATAACTAAACTGCACATAAATCAAAATACTGCAAAATAAAAAATGCAACATTGCGAATGGTGTACTGTTAAAATAAATAGGTAGACATATATGCACAATATAATAACCATATCCCACAAAAATTGACTAAAATTTTTACTGCACAATGAAAAAAATCCTAAACTATATCAAAACCTATTTATATAATAACTTAAGTGTAAAAAAAAAAAAAAAAAAGCCGAGAGAACATTTAATCAAACTACTTGATCATAGAGAAGCCGATGAAACTGACAAATCGAACTTAGCAAAGGGGAAATAAGTTGAATCAAGATTAATTTTAGATATTACTACAAAATTTCTTTTTAATTATTGCTAAGGATGGTGGCAGGTAATAAGATGACTGGATTTGGTTTTATGATTAAGATGATGCTGAGAAAAAACTGAACACTCCTGTGCCTGTCAATGCTTGGAATGGTGCAATGCCTTACCACATATTGAATAGCAGATGAATGGAAGTTTTTAAAAGAGTGTTCATATTGCAATCTGATATCTAAGTGAATATATGGACCTGACATTGGTATTTCTATTAAAGTATGGTACTAGCATTTACATGTGATAATTAGTTTGGGGTTTAAAATTTTTATTAAAAAATTTATGATTTTTTCCTTTTAAATTTGGCTTCTTTGTGTGATTCCCTGGATTTCTGAAATCTAACAAGACATTCTGAACTAAATACATACTTCTCAAACTGAACAAATAGAAGAAAGCCTGTTAATTGTACAGGACATTGCTTCTACAAAGATGGGTCTTAACTATGAAGCTATGCAGGTTAAAAGATATTTGCAATATAACCTGCAACACTATTGCATGCCAGACACACAACCTGCTACTGTTTAGAAGATATCCATACTACAGTTAAATTGCCATGGAGTTACAACACTTACAAGAAAGCCTACTTTCTCAAAAAATCATGAAACACCACCAAGGACAGCTTTAACTTTATAATTATAATAATAAGACTTGAGGTGCATGTAACTAACTACCTTTATAAACATACTGCATTTTAATGAGACTTGATTGTAAATAGAAAATAATTACTTAAGTTAAAATATTAAAAACAATCTAAATACAAGAAGTGATTATAATAATTTTGCATGCATGAAGATAATAGTAAAATATGTAAATTATATAAATATGCAATAAAATATGAAATATACAGTAAAACATGCAAAATTCAAATCAATCTTGTATATAAATGATAAACTATCATTTGAGATGATAATGTTGATTAAAAAATAGACTGAAATCAAGATAAAGCTATATTGTAAGAAACAGAACAGGCCCTTACCACGAAGCAGCACTCTTTAGCCTCCGTATTTCCTTAGTAGCCCAAGTTGCTAAAGTTTTAGTTTTGGAAGTTTTTGAACGTCTACCTTTAGTTAACAGATCATTTATTATTTCATTATCTAGAAGTGGTAGCATACTTTGACCAAATGCAAGACATAGATCTCTGGGCAGGAGAAAAAAGTTACTCTATTAGATGCATGTTCTTAAACATCAAACTATTAATATGGTACACAAAAAGTGAGAATGCAATCTTTATAAATACCCTATAACACCTGCACTTGCAGCTAAAGTGCCATCCGAGTGATCAGGATCTTGGGCTATATGTGTTATAAACTGCACTATATAGGGAACGTGGGGTTGAACTACATTAACTTCAGCTAAAACATTAAAAAAATTTTACTTTAAAAATTGAACTTCTGCTATTAAAAAAAACATTAAAATCCAAAACAGTTAACATTTATAAAAGCATATATCAATAAGAACACACATCAGAATAAAAATAAAATAAGCATCTACTGAAATCTATAAAAGTTAAAAGTGGCAAGTCTTAACTTTGAGAGGGGGTGGACTACAAACAAATTTCCAATTAATAGTATTTTAGATAACTTAATAAATATCAAAAACATTGGAACAACTTTTAAAAAAGATTAAATTTTAGGTACTTAAGTATTAGTGCAACCCATATTAGCAGTCTGGCAATTTTTTACAGAAATAAAGGTGATTTGGTGAATTTTCGGACTGCAACTTACATTGGATACGGTTACCTAAATAATTTATGCAGATGTTCAACAGCTTCTACTAAGGTGCTTGCAGCACCTTTTAATGTTTATTTTTGTTTCCCAAGATTCATAATTTTTAATTTAACATTTGATCACATTTTATACACTACCTTTACAAATGACTGCTATTTTTCAGTAGCAAATCTGAAAAATTATTATTTAACTCAGCATTTCTTAAAAAAGCATTATTAATGCAACATGAAACTTTTTAACATAAAAGAAATGTGAAAATTATAGAAACTATTACTGTTACACTTACAGCTAGGTGTAGATTGATCACCCTTCAGACCTTGAATAATACCAGTATAAGCTTCAAGGCACCCTTCACGTAATTCATTTACATAATCAATCATGTCATAGTCATTCTATAAAGAATAAAATTTTTAATTTAACAGATAAATCACAGAAGCAATAACACTGCATGCGATCATATTTAATGCATTTATATTTCCTAATTTTTTTGGCTTATTCAAAATACTGCATTCTTTGATTACTTTAAATGTCCATAAAAAATAAATTACCGGCCACGTTAATGTTCACTTATCAGAATATCCAACAGAGAATACCTTATCATTTGATCCTCAAAACCACACACACCTCTAATTTCTTTTCTGTCTTTTACTTAATATAAATAAGTAGTTGGAATAAGAATACTGTGTGCAAAAATAAGGAACTAATATTGGCACTCCACTAAATAACTTTCATATTTACTACTCCAAATGTTAGCCTGTTTTTTAGCTGCTCATGAAATATTGCGAGAAAGAACTTTTGAGGAAACAGTATAACACATTTAATTTTTACATTGTTGCACTTTGATTATTTAAGCAAACGAGAAAAATCTTTAAAATGTCTCGGCATTTAATCTGCTTAGGATAAAATTAATACAAAACAAATTCTCAAAGAAGAGCAACTGAAAATTAAAATAATTTTAAAATAAAAAATGTGCATGTTTCAGTACCTTTTCAGCTTGAGTCTGAGATGCTTGGAGTAAAGTTTGAATTACAATATCTAAATATTTCCTAAAATGAGGACCTATCGCAAGTGCAATATCTCCAAATACTGAGAGAATTTGAGGTTTAACAGATCTATGAACACCAGCATTCTAAAAGAGAAAAAGTATAACTTATTAAGAATAAAAGTATAAAAAAGGGAGTCATAATTTTTAAAATATTTATTTAAAACTGAAAGCAGCAATTATACTCACAGAAATTATGAAATCATATTCAAAGCAGACATAATATAAAGCGTGACAAATTAAAATAAATTATTTACCAATACCCTATATAAAAAAAATTTTAGTTACAATACTTCAAAAGATTGGGGGAAAGGAGAAAAAGCTTTAAATTGTTTAACTGTTATGAAAAATTCAAGCAGTTTGAAAAATTCAAGTTAAAAATCTGAACACAAGAAAAAACTACATAACCCAAACTATTTAAAATACAAGAAAGCAGTAAACACTTATTCATTATGACACTTACCGATAGATTTTCCATTAACAATGTCATGATATCATCACAATAAGGAAGAACTTTTAAAGAAAGTGCTCGACAAATATCTCCAGTTAAACCAACTGCCGCACTACAAACCTATAAGTAAAAAGAACACATTAAATATATGCACACAAAATTTTACTGACATATTAGGGTTTACGCAGATATATTTCAAACAGATCTGAAAAATCATTTGTTTTCAATGATAAAATTAGTAGCTTTTTGTGATAAGCAGTATTTTGCTTTACCAGGCTTAAAACCAGCCTAATAACGTACAATTCTTTTAGGGTCTCCCAAATTTCTGCATCTTTTTCAAAGTGCACTTTTCCTCCTTATATTTTGTTACTACCAATACGGAGTGAACATGAATAAAGGGGATATTTAAATATGGGTTTTCTGCTGATGTTGCATAATTTTAGCATGAGTTGTGGCTTTCATTTCAGTGCCAAGAAAGAACTTGCAAAAACATTATCACCATATTATGCTTATAAAATTTTTGCTCGTTATATAGAGATAGTGCTAACTGATGACACAATTCGAAGGTGATCTGAGAAATTTTATGCTAGTTCTGGATAAAAAATCCTCAATTCGGAGAGATAAAGTCAGTAAATGGATAATTTAAACAAAGTCAAAGAAAAGAGGGTGGTGATGTTGAATTGGAAGCCTTTCATGCTGCATACTAATAACTGCCAGACCATATGCTACTGAGGTGACCCATCAGAAAAAGAGCAGAGCTAGGCTGTGAAATTCTTTTAAAACCATAATACTCTCCAATCTATTACCCTACAATTATTTTTTTTATTCTTGCCAAAATTTTTTGAAAGGAAAAAATTCAAAACTGAAGCAGATGTAAACTAAGCATTACTCAAGTTCTTTGCCTCTAAGAACAAGACATTTTCAAAAACGGTATCTATAAATTTCCACCATGTTGGCACGAGGTCAAAAGTAAAGACAGGAATTATACTACAATAAATATTACTAAAGGTATAAATAATGCATTCTTTTACTTCTCAAATGGACAGAATGTTCCAGTTGACCTTATGTATATTGTGATGTTTTCAATTTTAAGATTATTTATCGAAGCTTATATTTTGTAATGTAATTTTTCTAAAAAAGTTCATTAATTCTACTGCATGTAAGTGAATGCATTTAGACTTATGCTTCCAATGATGAAATGCATTTAGACACTTATGCTCATCCGATATTCAGCAAACAGTTTAGAACAATGAAGCCTTATGCCTAGTATAAAAACATCAAGAAAGTTAAAATATTTTGTTCCTTGAAAATAGTATAATACTTTCAAAAAAGAATGAATCAAGTTTTACAAACTATGCAACTAAGTACAAGAACACAATAAATCTCATTATGAAAAGATATAAAACTGCAAAAAGAACAGTTACAATAGTTGTAAATCAAAGCACTGAAATAAATCAAGAGAACATTCCAAATTTACTTTAAATCCTTTGTACTCCAATCTAGCGACTCCAGCATTATATTAGTTACAAGTATACATATATAACACAAAAAAATACAGTTGTTGCAATAAAACTGAATGTTTATTTCTTAGCTACATTACATAAAAACAAGTTTATAAATCTTCAACAATATGAAAATTTTGTGTTTTGTAATTTGTCATGGTCTAATTCTAAATCAATACCCCCATCTTCATTTGGGTTTGCAGGGGCAACGGCCACAAAATTCACTAGCTTTACATCTCTTTCCTATTTTCTGCCTTTTACAGCATACATTTCATTTTTACTACACAAGGGTTTTCAACATTTTGAAATGAAAGAGAAAACATTTATTGAAACATTAAACTCAAAACATACGCTAAGATAAACACATCAATTTATAGAGAAAACATTAAACACAAAACATATGCTAAGATAAACACATCAGTTTATATATATCCCAACCATGAATAACTGGTCCCCGATTGCTACGCTGCCAGAGGCCAGTTATCTAGGAGAGGGAAAGTTTTAACAAAGAGAAGATTTGAATTATAAAGATGTTGCACTGATAAACACCCAACAGTTTATACAAAAGTGCTCTAGTAAGGTAAAAAAAAAAAAATGCTGTTGTAGTAGTAACACTATTATTTATTTATTTATTTATTTTTTAAGTGGATTTAAAGTTCATATTTGAATGGCATACTATCGGCGACAACGGAGTGCAAAGGGTCAAATATCATAAGATTGGTTATTGAGAAAATGTTCCTCAAAATATGTATGCCTCCTAGTGTGCTCAATATGCCAAAACTATATTTAAAATATTTTTAAACAGTTAGGCATTCAGTGACATGCCTTTTGCATCTATAATCATCAAAAACAATGAATAAACTTCTCTACAAATTTTATAATCAGTTAAAAACCTAAGAATGTTTGAAAATTTAAAATTGTTAGCTTAAGACAATTAGTAGAACTTTAAATACTGAATAAATTACATATCTACACAGAAGTTATTAAAATAATGCAAACATAAAAACTTAAGGATAAAGAGCCTCTGACATGAAATACTGCCCGGATTCAATTAAAGATAGAACGCACAGTCATTCGTGGTAAAGAATATATTTTTCTGGAGAAGTTCTGAATGAAAGTTTCAAAAAATATGCTAATGATACAATACCTAACGTTACTTTTTAACCGTTTCAGGAAACGTGTGTCATATAAGCCACAGTAGTTCACCAATAGCTTAGAAGATCAGTGCTTGACTTAATGGCTGTTAACATATATGTAACAATCATATGGAACAAAAGTAAAATATCTTTGATTCTAATAGATGGCCCCCTATGCCCATACTATCAAGAAAAATGGTAATATGATGCCTGAAATTTGACCTTGGTCTTTTCCATTTGCTTCTTAACAGCAGATAGCGAGTTTCAATAATGTAAACACGCATACTGGGTCTTTATGCACAGGCATTTTTGTTTATATTCCTTTCAAGTGGCTTTTAGAAGGAGCAGTATCTCATATCACTGAAGTTTTTAGTTAAGTTTCTTCTTTTTGCATGTACAGTAGGGTTTTTTCTATGTATGAATGAATGATTGTATTCTGTATGAAACAAAAAGATGGAAGGAGTGGATATTAGAGATGCAATATCCATCAAAACCTTTCAAATAATATCAGAAATTACTCTTTGGATTCTTTGACATTACGATCTACAATGTTCATGGTTTATCAGGGTTCGTACACATTTCTGCACATGAAAATTAAGTACTTTTAAGGACCATTAATGAAAAAAAATTAAGGACCTATCAGCCAATAGGAGCTAAAAAAAATTCAATTCAATCAGCTTATTTCTGACTTCACTTTTGTAATAACATTCTAAGAATAAAATAGATCCGTGAGTAGGGTGCATTCTTATTAAACATAACTTTAAAACAAATCTGAGAATGAAATCCACATTATAAAGTTTATCAAATAGCATTAAATATTTTACACGTATAATAGTTGGACATATTTGAAAGAAGATTGGGGGCATTTCATTTACATTTTATTAACAGCTTTATGCTGATTTTTTCCTTTATGACTCATTTTGCCATGTACTTACTCAGTCTAGAGGTTTAGTAAATAGCAGGTAAATTTTTATGTCAAATGGCATAGGTTAAAATGAGAAAATCATAATCAGCATGATTTGTAACAGAAGATTAGCTGTTGCTAGTGCTGCTGCTTGCCGGGAGAGAGACCTGTTAATAAAAAAAAACCTGTAGGCCTGTTGTAGGCACTGCTGGCAAGTTTTGAAAGTTAGGTTGTGCTTCGTCTGTCTGAAGCAATTAGTGTATAAGGTATTTCTCCCGTATTTTTTGGCATGTCTTCATGGTGTGATGGTCTGCACACTCAGCTTGTATTCAAGAGGTTCGCAATTTGATTCCCGGCGAAGGCTTAGCATATTTTTCATCTTTCCTGCTTCAAAAAAATACCTAATGTCTCTAAAGAGTGTAGTTAAATACCCTCAGTCGTTACAGATTTACATGGCCATTATTAAAATTACAATCTAATAACATTTCACAGTTCAAAATGTAATTTATGACACTGATTCTTAAACAGTATTAGGATAATTACATAACAATGTATTACATGACATAACAAAATATTTATGCATCTTTTTAATTCGAAGTCTTCCTAGACATTTTAGCTAATTTATAACAATTTTCTTCTCTTTAAACATCTTTTCTAACAATTAGAAATCTGTTTCAATACACAAACCAATGTTCCCACTAGTTTCTGCATGTTTTATCTCCTAACTTGTAGTCTCTCAACAGTGTAAAGAGATTTTACGTGATCTGGTAAAAGTTAAATAATCCAAAACCTCTGATAGACAAGAAGAAAATTATCATTATGTCTGAAGGTAGCTACAGCATCACATAAAGATTTAAATAAAACTCTTATTTAAAAAGAACTTGGAACATACAGGCACATCCTTATGTTATGTTGACAAAATAAACTACAGCTTTTGGTGATGCAAGTAAACAGGAACAGCCAAATTCAAACTAAAAATGTAGACTAGTATTCAAAGACTACACAATAAAATTTAACCTAAGGTGACTCAGTAATTTTATTGTAGTAACAAATTCAAATATTAGCAATGATAATGCAAAGATGAATAATTACAAATTATCCACATAGAAGGAACTAAGGCAACATCCAAGTGGAGGACAGAAACTTTGTCTTACAATCCAAAAATCTCAGTTTAAAAACTATCTGATTTGCATTATGGTGACGAAATGGAAAGGGAAAGCTATAGTAAAGGCTAAAATTCTAAACAACTGATTAATTTGCATATGTATTCAGTTTCTTTCAATATGTTTCCTGTTCACATCAGAATTTTGTGAATTAAAGATTTCTGTTATTCTAAAAAACCAAATGCATTTAGAATATAAAGGAAAAGCTACTAATTTTATTTCTTTAGTAACATAAACATTCAGAATAAATATGAAATGATATGTGGTAAAGGCTGGTATGAGCCGATGAGGCAGAATTTTTAGATTTTAGTGACACGCCGAGCAACAATATTTAGAAATGGCAAAACTTTTAGAATTTAGGACAGGGAGTGGGAGCAGAATTTAGGGAGGCACTAGACCGCAGAATTTAGGAACCACAGATATTTCATCAGGTGGGAAAAAGCCCAGCGCCAGCCCTGTGTATGATCCATCGAGACGTATAAGGTGAATCTTTTAAGTTGTCAGTTTTCAATTTCTTTATTAATAAAAAAATCTTTTTTTATAAATGCCTGTTCAGGCGAAAAGATTACAAACATTTTTGGTATTTTCGATGCTTGTATCTAGTGAAAATTTAGATAAACATGTTAAAAAAAGTACAACATTCAAACATTATACTTTCAGTGTCCTTCCAAAAATTCTTCACAATGTAAGAAATTCATCATAAAATTTCTGTTATGTGGTAATACAATTAATATATTATTTTTTTTTCTTTTGTCGCATTTTAATGGAACCTCCTAGAATTGTGAGTCTGTAAATCTTGGATTCAAATCCTTCTAAACTTTCCAAGTCGCAATGTTTAAAATCCTAAAGAAAAATTAGCCCTACCAATTCTGTAATAGAAAAAAGGCCAGAAATAGTTTGAAAAAAAAAAAAAAAAAAAAAAAAAAAAAATCAGTGGAAAAAGTATGAAATTAATTTTATAGAGAAAAGAGATGCATATTTTAATAATTCTGAATATTCTGAAACAATTACATGGGAAAACTTTTACCATGAAAAAATTGAAAGGACGAAATTTTTAATTAATTACATAGCTATTTTGGTTTTGCTATGGACTGTTTTGTAAACTGTGCTTTATAACATTTATTATATTGTTTATTTTTCATATTCAAAATACTGCATAATAAGTCACCAAAATGGAAAGTAATGTTTCTTCATAATATGACAGCAAAAAATATAAATGTTTCAATGTTATTTCCTAAATATAATTTCAATATTTTACCATTATTTAATTAATTTTATCAATGTTGTAATGTTTTTTTAAAAAAATCGATGAAAAATTACCAGATCTCCGAATTACACATTTTCTATAGAAAGTGATATTAAAATCGCCGAAATGTTGATAAGTCACCAAATTTCAAGCCGTTTTATAAAAGAATTCACATCCACAAAAGCGGAAAGTTTTCTAAAAGCTCTTCATTAGAAAAAAAAAATGAAATAATTTTGAAATTCTTATGTTTCACTTCTCACTCAGAAACTCCAAGTACCCCACCCTTTATATTAGAAATAGGAACAAGTTAATAACCCATTTAAAAGATAATCTCATTTGTCAGTGAATCGCCAAAAATATTTCTCCAAAACGATAATTCACACTCAAAATAGCAGTTGTAAAAACAAAACCCGAAATTTCAGATGATTAAAATTAAGGACCTTCTGATGATTTTGGCCGAAATTAAGGACTTTTAAAGACCAAAAATAGATTTAAAAAAATTTAAGGACTTTTAAGGACCGTACGAACCCTGTTTATACGATGTAAAAAATGTTACAAAAAGTCCATTACTTCAGTTTCTATTAAAAGTAGTCGAACAAATTACGCAGAAGATCATGTCAAGAAAAGAATGTGAATTTTGGGCATTAGATATACCATTTTGTGATTCCATCTTTCAGAAAGTCATTTTCTATTTCATTCGTAAGTGGAAAGAAAGAAAATGAGAAGATAAAATTGTTTGTTCTCAAACTACACAAAAGAAGACAGTTTTGGGAAAAACAGTTTATATCGAGTGCAAAGATTATAATGTACAACTGTGCTTGGTCCCATGATTCAATATTCATCACACAGAAACACAATTTTTAAGTTTCATTGAAAGTATGTGTGTATACGTGTGTGTGGATGTGCCTGTGTAAATTTGTTGCTTTATATTAAATATTTTAATTGTAGTTTATGAAAGTTTGTTTTAAAATTCTTCTCTCATAGTTTATATATATAATTAAAAACTGAAAGTTTATACATATTTAATTCTATGATTCACCAAGCATAAAAGTGAATGCATTTTCTTTAATATTTGATAAAATTTAGTCAATTGGAATAAAAATGTATTGCCAAAATTTAACCAAAATTAAGTTGAACAAACGAAGACATAACAAAAGCTCAACACTTCGTCTCATAACAACTAACAGATTGGGGAACCATCCGGAAAAGGTTAAACTCTCAGCAATTTGAAGAGAAAGTAAAAAAACTACATGGTAGAAAAATATTTTATTTTGAAAGTTACTCGCATCACACCTGAAAAGCGGCATGATGGTAGAAAATGCCATTTGCCGCAGAAAACTACATAAAGTTCAAAAACTACTCTCTTTTAGATTAGATTAAGGACTAGAAGACGGCTGCTGCCCAAATCATTAGACATCTGCCCTGTTTGAATGTTAATATGAAACAATCACAAAAGACCTCTCTGGATGTTTCCTATATTGTCTTACGGAAAATAATGCAAAAGTCTATGACCTAATGATTTTCCAAGATTTGTGCTCATTGAACTTACTACATTGTTAGCGTTTCATATCAGAGCCATTACTTAAGATTTCAGAATTGCTTTGATGCTATGCAAGTTTTCTTTAGACCGAGCTGAATGATGACTTAGTTACATTTATCTTTTTCAACGACGAATCAGCTTTGCTGCCCAATGGCTTTCACTTGGTGATCTACTGTTGTGTCATGTAGATATTTTACCTTAAACTATATATGTTGCTATACTGCAGTTTTGGAAACATTCACACTCTGAAGATTTCAGCGACAGATACTTCAAAGAAATACATCAACAGTTTGTGCTCACCGTAAGTTTATGATCCGACAACTTACATCACAGAAAAAACAACACACTGCCTACAATAGAGTTTCTCAACAAAAGTGGAATTTTAAAGTTTAAGGGAAGACTGTAGCCAGCCTTTTATTTAGTTAATCATTTCGCTTTAATTTACGAATATAAACAACTACTCTTAGGTCTCGTTTCAGTATTTACCAACATTTTCTATGCTTTGTGTTGTTTAATTTGTTTGCAGAAATTTGTTTAATTGCATTGCAGAAAATAATCTGAATCTAATATAAATATACATATTTTTGAAGTTTAGAAATGAGATGAAGGGATGGCTTTTTTTTTTTATCAGTGGTGAAAAGAGTAACTGGGACAAAAAAAAAAAAAAGGTTCAGAGCTACTGGCCCACAATTACTGAAGGCTAACAGCTTTAGGTTAAACCCTTCGGCAGTTGCAAGATTAAGCTATTTTTTCCTCTCCAAAGCACTGCAAGTTGCAAATTTGTAACGCGAGCTGATTTGTGTGTATCCTCTGTGCGTAAGTGGAATGCGAACTCAGCTCGTTCATGACCATCAAAAGGTTATATGCATGTTAATATTTATACATAATAATTTTCTAGTAAAAAATGTCTAAAAATTTTTTTAGTAAAAAATATCTTAAAGGAAAACCAGTCTATGATCTAATATTTTTTATGAGCACATTTATAAAAAATATGAGTACTGATAGGCATTTCCATTATTCTCATAATCATTTGTATTTTCTACAACTTACAAATATGGCCAACTAATAAAAGGGAAAATAAAATGCATTTTTGTTTATTAGTAGATAACTGCTTCAGGCCCTTTCAGCATGTGTTGACAATGCATATTAATATTTTCATGTTTAACATGAAAATTAATGCCTTAAATATAATGAAATCTAAGACTTACCTGATATTCTGCATGGTTTTTTAAACCCAAAGCAAGATAAGGTGAGAATGCATCCATGTACTTCAAAAACTGATCACCTAAAACTAAAGGAGAAAGAGAACATCAGTGAATAGAACTGTTAAGTACTAAAGAAAAACCATAATAAAATATTTTTGATAAACATATTAGCATCTAAAAGATCAAAACTTAAAAAAAAAAAAAAAAAAACCACTTTCTAAATGCATTACAATGCAAGAATTTCTTATCACTGTATTTAAATGAAACTGCCTTCATGTAAGAATGAATAGAAAATGCTACTTGCATGTTTAGTTTAAATCCAACCAGATGTTATTTTACACACATAACTGCCAATCTATTAAAAGATACCAGAGACATTCTAGCAGTTAGGAATAATGTTCAAAATCCAGACCTCTGGATCATTAGCCTAAAAAAATATTTTTGTTTAGAATTTTCCCCCTTGCAATAACAACAGTTATATTTTGCGAGAAAAACAGATGTGCAAAGAATGAGATTTCCTTTCCCCCAGAGCTTCTGTGTCACTTTCAAACACCTACAGGCTATGGAATCACATCCTGGCTATGAACAGGGTTGCCACTCAAACAGGAGAATGAAATTCCCTGACTTTTCCAGGTTTTCCAGGTGTGTTTCAAGAAAATTCAAGTCTATCCGCATAATGTACATTGGCTGTGCTAAGAGGTAAATTAATTATGGTATTACTTGTATTGTGTAGCAAATTCACTTAATTATTCAACAAATCCCAGAGGACATTTATTCTTAATTATTCTTGGTATACTTTGTTTGATAATTTTGTTTAGTTTTCCACTTAAGAAACTTAATAAAATTTAAGATATATACATTGGATAACAAATATATGTTTTATTTAATTATTACTAATGATCATCACCAGTTCAACATGAGGCTAACCCGGTCCTTATAAATCACAACGCAATGCTAAACAGTTAGGTTAGATTTTAGGTAAATTTAATTTGCGTGAGGTGTATTCTTAAAAGGCACCTTAACACTTGAAAACACAAATATAATTATAATAGTTGTTGTTTTCTACACTGAAGATTGAGATTAGAATCTTCCCAATCTGGAATAAAATAAGGCTTTTTTTTTTTTTTTTTTTTTGCAGACATTCTGCAGCTAAACGAAAGAAAGAAATCTATTTTTAAATTGAGGTATTTATATTTATTTCGCAGCATACATAAGGAAAAAATATGTGCATTAAATTTCGTGATGGTATGTCATCATACTGCTATAATTAATTTCAGGATTATGCCAGAGAAAATTTCCTGAAAATTGGAAATATTATTTACTAATAATAAATAAATTTAGAGGGAAGAAGCAAGATTAAATTATATGAATAACATACAAATAATTACTTAAAAATTGAATTAGAATAATCAACAATATTTTAGCGAATATAGTTATATTACATGGCTAGCCTAGATGACTGATTACTATTTTTTTATTTTACTGCAAAATGGCAAGGTATTTATTAAAAAGAAAAAAAAAGGTTTAAAAAGATTTTGCGGTAAAATTCTAGTATACGGTAAGGCTTTGGCACGATTCTGAAAATTGTCGCCAAGACCAAAATGACCCGTTTACTGCGCATCATGATGTCGCCAAATCCCATTATTATTCTAACCAAAGAACATGTATGTAAAGAAGAAAACGTTCCATTCAAGTAAAATGCTATAACGCCGTTAGAATGCGGAGGGAAAATTTGCCAAGGAATTTGGCGACGGAACCTGGCAGCCAGAATTTCCCTCCCCGCAATGTGTACAGGAAATTGAGAAACACGTGTTAAGAAGAAACGCTCTTTGACAAAAAGAAAACTATGAAAATCCGTTTTTAAAATTATTGCGAAAAATCCACGCAATAATTTTAAAAACGGATTTTCGTAGTTTTTTTCCCCCCTGAAAATAACTAATCCATGAATTAATTTACTTGCACCAAAAAATATTTTCTTTTCCTTTAGAGTTTAACCACTTGCGCTAAGACTAAACTTCACGGTTGCGGTGCCGTGCGCTACAATATAACAAGCGGTAAAGTGTCTCATTTATGCCGCTCCGCATCTGCGAGTGCAATCCAGAGCTGTAACTTGAGAAATAAACAATCTCGTTGTTAGGCGACGTGTGCACCACATTATTTTCATTTTTGCAATAAATGCTTATCGACGTGGTGTTCATGTCGCTCACGGTTTGAGACAAAAGCATGTCGACGTGCCTGGCACGTCTTTTTAGCGCAAGTCGTTAAAGAAATTTTAAAGGATATTCATTTTATGAACTTTTGATAACGTCACCTTCGAACTTCGACACCGGTTTCGAGCTTTGGCGACAGATATCAGACATGCACAGCTGTTTCCCTCTATGATGGAACGGAGCCACGTCTGTTGCAGAGAGGTTTTCCTTCTTTACAATACATATTCTTTGATTCTAACCTCCATGGTACCATATACTAGGATTAAACCCATTTTGTTTTATACGAGAACAGGTACTTTCTTTAGTTCATGCACTGCACATGTACTGGAAACCAAAAGTTGTGGGAAAGTTGCTTTGCCTTTCTAAAAGACAAACTGGAGCTGCGAAAATTGGCTCTATGCCAACTACCCGAATGACACTCACGTGATACATAATTCGCCAAAAAAGTTATCTCTTCCGACGTCGGCGCAAAAATCGCTTTTTTGGCGCGATCGTTGTATGAACTTCCCTGACTTTTCCAGATTTTGACAAAAATACTTAAATTCTCTGACTTTTCCCTGAATATTTTGGTCAATTTTCGAATTCCCTAACTTTTCCCGGTTCTCCAGGTAGCGTGGCAACCCTGTATGAATAAACTAATTTTCAGTACCACAGTTTTAGAAAATGACATCACAATTTATTCTTTTTCCACAATAGTATAGCCGTCAATCTGCCAATGGATACTTTATGAGCATAAAACGGCCTTTTAAAACCAATAGAGCATTAGACTATCCAAAAATTTCTAGAAATATTTTTAACATAATGTGCAGGGAATCACAAGGCCATTAGAGGACATGTTTACAGATACTTTTTCAATTGCTTGGCATAATTTATAGTCAATTACAAAATTTTATAATGAAGGTGATATTTTGAGGTACACAAAATTTCCAATTAACACTTTACCGAACCCTAGCAGTTCAACAGCATACGCACGTCCGACCAGCCGCAGATTCTCCATGTCCTAAATAACTGTCAGGACAATCTGATATATCGTCTAAATAAAACTCTCCAGTACCTCTTTTTCGTTCATCGTGAACAGTAAATTTTTTTAAACGATGTGAAGATGTGGGAGTTTACAAAGCAACGCACTTAAAGCAAGTGAGCAATGTACCTCAGTACTAATAATAAAATGCAGATGATATGTCTCAAGGCAACTGTTATCGCCATGGCTACTGATTGATAGGCTATTTTTAGGTAGCCCCGAGAAAAAGCGATTAATAGGCTGTCAGTTGTTAGGCATTGGCAAAAAAAGCCGATTAATAGACTATTGGTTGGTAGGCGTAGGCAGAAAAAAGCAGATTAACAGGTTATCGTTCAGTAGGCGGTGGCAAGAAAAAAAAACTGATTAATCGGCGATCAGTCGACAGACGTTGGCGATAAAAAGCCGATAATAGGCTATTGGTCACTGGCAATAAACAGCCAATCGGTTGTAAAGTGTTAAGAGCAAATGAGAACAGATGCTAAACAAGGATGGTATAACTGTCATAACTAGCAATGCGATGACATGTCTCAATCTTTAATCAGTAGTAATAAAGAGTAGCAAATATGTATAGTATGGTTTTAAATACAGAAAATATCGCCATTTCAGCGTTGAGACATATCACCATTTTGGCTTTAATTTCACACGGCCCAAAGCGTTTGACTTCCGGAGTACCTTTGCAAATTAATGCAATTACCTCCACACGTTTGATAAGAAAACTGAAGTAATTAAGAAAGAGCAATGGCTAAAGGAAGATTAACGAAACCGTTAAGGGTTTACTGAGAGAGAAGTGAATAAGGAGTCCACGCTAGAGACGAAAAATTCTTTCTGCTTTCAACTTGTTTTTCAAGATTGAAAGAGAGAGAGGTGATAATTAAGGCGAATTCCTGAACGCACTGCATTAATGGAATCGGAAAGGTTGGAAGACAATCAGCCGGGAAACATATTGTTCCAAGGCTTGGGAAAAGTAAATTAGGTGGACGGAAAGCCACAGTTTGCTAATGCCTTGGGGATGAGCGGGGGGAAGGGGGGGAGGAGTTTGCGACTAAAACACTATGGTGATTCAGAAAATTCTTTTTATGGAAAGTCATCTTTCAATATTTTAAATGATCTAAAATTTCTAAAATCTTGCCTTATTCAATATGGTAAGATGTTTTGCGTCACTCCCATATTCATTATAGCTTGCTTTACTAAATTTTGAATGCTTTAGGTCACTTCAAAATTCTCTAAACAATCTGGGGTTTACTTCTTTGAAGACAGTAAAATACTGTTAAAAAATATATAAAAAATTTACAGTCTTCAATTTCTTTACAAATAAACCCAATGAATTTTTTAAAAAATTAATTTTCTAAGCTGCCAGAAAGATAATATAAAGTCACAGAACAAAATGGTGCTATGCGATTCAACGAAATTTTATGCTTTGTATTTATCATTAAAAAATGCAGAAGTTCACAGATGTTCTAATTATATTAATGTGAAATAGGTTAAAAATCTATTTTCATTTATTTCTAAGTGTTTTTTTAGGGGAAGGAAGTACCTGGAAGAACACTTGCCAACCCTGATTGTAAAGCACTTTAAAAATATTTATTATGTGATATATACGTAGAATTTAGGTTTAAGTAACTTTTACTCAGATTAGCACTGATCAACACCTTAGACCTCCAATTTGCTACATCAGATATTTCTAATGTCATGTGCCCACTGGACAACTCTTCAAGAGCTGGAAACATCCCAGCAAAACCTATTCGGATCGGATTAACATTGTGTTTCAGTACCACATCTAAAGTGGATTTATAAGCTTTTTCTACACAAACTAATATATTGAAAAACAAAAGGGCCTTACATTTATAATAGAAGATTTATTATTGATATGAACAAAACTACGAGCAAAATCTGAAATGCATACCTTCAACAAGCATGGAAACAGCCATTAATGCATCTTCTTGCACTCCACCAGATTTACCACTACTAGAGCTAAACATCTGTAACAATGCTGCCATTATAGCATCTGAAATTTTAGGAGCATCCTCAGGAGTCATCTTCCTTAAGACACTCTGTAAAATGAAGTGAATTTTTAAAACTAAACAAAAAAGAAGGGGATTTTGTAAGGCATCAAATTATCTGCGATTCTTATCCAAGCAAAACACTTTCAATAGCAAGAAACTTCCGAAAATGGAACACAGGTTATAAAAGAATGATTGATACAAACTAATATATTGAAAAACAAAAGGGCCTTACATTTATAATAGAAGATTGTATTATTGATATGAACAAAACATTTAAGAATTAAATGAGGTCAAATTTGAACATTTCTGCATTAACCATAAATATATATAATATTTGATTCTGATACTGGTTGTAATATGCAAATTATTGGAAGGTTATGGGGGTAGTAAGGAATAGGAAAATGTCAATCTGACATTCACCACTTGGATTTTTATTTAATTGAGTTTATGTGGCAGCAGCAACATAGTAAAATGCAAATATTTTCAGCCATTTTCAAATGATATCCAGTTTTACAATTTTGTATTAATCTTAATTAACTAAATGAATCCACCTCTGATTCTTTGGCAAGATGTTTCAATAAAAAAATTAAATTTTACAAATCTTTTATTTTTCTTCAATTTAAACATATTATAAACATTTTATAGATTATTATTAAGCTTTGAATTTTTCATTGGATCATTAGCATTTGATGACATCCAAATCTGATCAATAAAAAAATATTACCAGAAAATTTTGCAGTAACACTTTGAAATACTTTACATGAATTTCTCTACTTTCTCTAGTTACCCCTCCCCATTTATTTTCAAAAACGAAATACAGAATTAAATGCCACAAAGCGTAAAACTCTTTCTGAATTTTATTTTTAAATAAGTTTACAAGACTTAATTTCTGAGTTGGAAACAGAAGATATTTTTATTTATGAAAAGAACAAAGTTGTTTCTTTTGAGACATGTAAAAAATTTTAATGGCGACAGTTTTCCTTGAGATGTTTAAATAAATCCAAGTTTTATAACTGAATGCCATTTAATCATTTATATGAAAAGCAGAAAATATATATTATTTTTAATAATAAACTTTAAACCCCATTTCATAAGAATTGTACCCAAAACTATAGTTTAACTAGCAAGCTAATGGAAACATGGGACCATTTCAACCAACAAACAAGCATAATTTTTTAAAAAAGAAATTTTACTTTAACAGACCATTGCTATATATATTAATGTGTTCCTTAGTTATGGTTAGGAATGTTACACTTTAGAACACACATAATTTAGAATTTTTTATTATTTTTATACAAATTCTGAAAGAAAAATGCACCATTAAGAACACACAACCATTTCTAGATCACCTACTGAAAAGAATATTTAACAAATTCTAAGCAGTATTTTGCACATTTCTTTATCAATCTGACAAATATATTTAAATTATTGAGATAAATTTATTGTTTGGGAATGTAAATATGAACTTCAAAAAACTTTAATCTTTAATTAAAACAGTAATAAACATCAATTCTTTTTCATTTCTTATACTATTTTTATAGTTAGTCCTTTCAGAATAGCAGAAAGGCAATAAGCAAACAAACCCCCATTTCCTGCTAAGTTTCCCGAAAATATCTGCTCTTTGGTGATAATTAATTCAAAAATTAGTCTACACTTAAACAAAAAATAAATAAACATCAAACAACTTCCCACACATTTTTAAACAATCATTCTTTCACTACATATTTTTAAGCAATTATTCTTTCAACTACATATTTTTTAAGTAATCCTTCTTTCACTACATATTTTTTAAACAATCATTCTTTCACTGTCTAATGATCTTAAAAACAAGCATACCTGTAATGTTGCACAAAGTAATGACTGTAAATCATTATATTGTGCTCTATCTGATGTACTTTGAATATGGCCTTCTAGAGCAAGAACGTGATTTAGACGTTCTAATATTATCATAGTCGTCTTTTGAACCCATACATAACAATCTTTTGGACTATTTTTTACTAATTCCATCAGTGCCTCATACGCAGCATTCCTTAAATTAGCTTGATTTCCATCCGGCCTGAAAAATTTGATATATTTTATCTAACAAAAAATCAAAAAATACATTTAAACTATTTTTTATTATCCTTATTATGGGAAAAAAAACATGAAGTTTCTTGCACAGTACATAAATGCATAAGTAACTTTGAGTGCAATCATTCCCTTCACTATCTTCATATTTAAACATCACAAATACTTAAAGAGACAATTTTTCATTCTTTTATTATACAGTACAAAGTCTTTAATCCGGACGTTCATAATCCGGAATGATCCTATAATCCAGACCTCAAAGCTACAAACTTTAGCGTAGCATTTACGCATGCGCATAATACCTTTACGCATGCACATTTAATGTATAACGGACGGTATAAGCTAGGCTAAAATTATCTAATTATCTATTTCAGTTAATGTTGCAGATTGTGTTGATCCTTAACCTTCTAATTGGATCCAGCTTTTTTTTTTTTCCAGACTGTTAGAGCAATTTTATGAAAAGTAAGCTTGAACTTTCAATTATTGCAAAAAGAGTTTCCGATTCTGGAGCTGCCAAAGGATCTACAAAGCGAAAGCATGTTTCAATGTCCATCAAACAAAAAGTGGAATTGCTGCAAAAAATGGATAAAGGCATGAAGAAAGTGACAGAGAGGTTAGCGAAAACGAAAAAATTTCAATTGACAAATTAGTTGGTATTCTCGGCACAGCAATTAAAGGACTTGAACAGCGAAACTTTGTAACTGAACAAAAAATTATGTCTGTTTATAGTATTAAAGAGAAAGTATTAGCACATAAAACGAAGCGACTTAAACAACTTACACTGAAAGAAATGTTAAATAAATTAACAAATAAATATTAAGCTTTCTCTTTTGTAAATTTTGATACCCTATAGATCATAATTGCTCTTTATTTCATAATTTATGGTTTCATATTTTAATTTTATAATTTCTGCATGCCATCTTACCAGATTTAAATTGATGATCTACAATCTGGAAAAAAACCTAATACGGAATCGCCGAAGTCTCGACGAGTCCGGATTAAAGACTTTGTACTTTATAACATTTAACCACTATCCCCTTTTAAAGTACTCATGTCTAGTATAAACTGTTGGCATGTTTCTTCCATTTTTAGAATGCTTGTTTAAAATCCTTATTTTTTTATGACACGCAGTATTCTTGTAACATTTTCCTTAATTTCCACTCTGGACTGGAAATGCCACCCTTTCAGAATGGTTTCAATTTGGGAAAAGAGGAAAAAGTGTACTGGAGCCACATCTAGAGAATGGAGTGGATGGGGCACAACAGAAGTGCAACATTTTGCCAGATAATGGGCAACATGCAGCTATGCAGGAGATGGAAGGTTATCATGATGCAGCATCCATTGATGATTCCCAACAATTCAAATCTCTACCTATGTACCTTTCTGTCATGTTAGAATTTGCTAGTATACTTCATTTACTGTCTGACTACATAGTGTAAATTTGTGGTGAATTTTGAACATGTTGATCACCTGCTGATATAGAAAGTTTGCCCAGTCCTTGTACCTCCAGCAGCTGAGCTTCTGTCCTTTTTAAAACACACCCAAACACAACCCTGCATTCAGCTCATAAAGTCAGCCTTGTGTGCTTGGTTAAGAATTTAGAATGCTTTTATGAATCTTCAGTTTTACACATACGCTGTTTCTCCAACTTCTTTCATTTTTTTTTCACTAATTTTATGAACGCCTTGTGCACAACCTTCAATTGGTAGTTATTCGACAAGTAATTTATAGATCGGAACTCAGTACCATAGTGGGGCCAATCTAGTGGAGACACTTAGGGGAATATCTTGGTATATTATCAGGATATGCCCCTAAGTGCACATGGCGAAAACATGCTGCCAGCAGCCACTGACACATAATTTTAAAAGTTCAATCTTTTTTATACATGCCTTATATCTAATTAAAATTTAAAATTACTGCAGCAAATAAAAAATTAGCAACTAAAAGAATGCCATAAAATTTTTAGGGAATTATATTCAAAACATCAAGTTTCAGATAAAGGCCTCCCTCCAGGCGAAAGGAATATACAGTATATCCAAATATAATTTACACAGTTTAGCTTTCACAAAATTTACATAGTTTAGCTTTCACAACTCTTAGTCCCATATATGTACAAATGAAAAATATTTTAAATAACAAATATTAATTTTATGCTATTTTTAAATTAAAAAATCTGATGTGTACACCACGACTTCCTGTACAGAATATAAATTATACACATTTTTCTTCTTTGTTTAAACTTATTGGATTTAATTATATCTACTCGCGACGCGCATATAAACCACAATAGAATAAGTGCATTCTTAAATTCTCTCTATTTGTTTACCATAGCGACACTCTGGCACTAGGTCACTAAAAGATTATATTTCATTCATATAACTCAGAAGCACAAAATTTGTATCATTTAAAGAATTATCTAATCATTGCAAATGTTCTATTCAAGACTATAATAAAGCTTAGAACGATGCATAAAGAAATTAAGCAAACAAAGAAACAGTTTTCCACAGATGAATGAATTAATGAATGAGAAACAGTTTTCTCATAATTCAGTTCTCACTCGCGACAAGCAAAAATACATAAAAATTTAAGTATCTCTACTAAAATTACTAATATTAAAAAATTAAATTATTTAAACACTATTCCTCGAAAAATTCCAGAAGGATTAGCATGATTGGAATCGCATAATAAATGAAGCATTATCTTGTGATGTGAAGCTACATTTCTCTAGATTTTCAACAAATTCACTACTCAGTGTTTCAAAGTAAACAAGCAATGGCGCCATCAAAATAGGATTAGCGGACTTTTAAAAACTTTTTAAATTGTAGATAATTCTAAAAATGTTGCATACAGATTTACTAAAGGCATAAAACCCTTAACGGAAGATAAAGCAACAAAATCAATCATTTTAAAGAAAAAAAATGTACAATTTACAAACATAAAGAGTAAAGAAACTGAGATCACTGAGCCAGGTAACAAATGGATATATTTATAAATATATTTATATATGTTTGGCGCTGCTGATGGAAACCAAAATACGAGGTGCACATCTACATGTTATAGTAGTCCTATATACAAAATTTCAACGTTCTGAGGCTACTCGTTTGAGTTATGCGAGATACACATTTAAGTATATACGTTCATACAGACGCCACGAAAAATTCTCTTCAGAATTCATTTTAAAGCAGTTTTTTTGGAGGAAACGAGTCTTTTATTCTGTCCTTATGTACAGATATCACGCAAAAATATCGTTAAATTGCATTCGAAAGCGGTCAAAGTGGATATTTTCGTTGAAATATGCTGCCTGAAGCTTTTCGCGATTACAATACTTCCTTTTAACTTCGTACAAGGAAGTAAAAATAATCACAAAAGTTACGTAATTTTATGTTTAATGAATCCCTAGCTTCTATTATTATTTAGAAAAACTTAATACTCATTCTTCAAAAAATTATAATATGGAGACACTACATGACTTCCTTGCACAGCCTATTAAATTAAGCACATTTTTTGCTGCATCTCATTTCAACTTATTTGCCTGAATTTCATTAGATATATATTTCTCATTCAATCAATTCAGTTCTCCCTTTGCGGCAAAAATGTATATATAAACTCAAAACAGTTTCATTAATAATCTTAAAATACAGAAAACCTAAAACACCAGAGTTAAAAAGTGTTAAAGAAAACAATTCTGACAACTAAAATTAGACTTAAAAATTAAAATTAAAATTAGGCAGAAAACACTTTTCAGCGCACAAACCTTTTGACCCACTCCACAAAAAGACAGTGAAGTTGGTGCAAAAACCAACTTAATTCACTATGCTATTAAGTTTCAAATGTAAATTTGAAACTATGTATTTTGTAAATTTGTATTATGTATTTTGTTGTTGTAAATTTGTATGTATTTTGTAAAATTGAAATGTAAATTTGGCATTTGGCTTAGTGGCCAAGTTTCAAATGTAAACAAATATGGCTGCTATGGTATTAAAAAAAATAGACTTATCCGTATTTAAACTTTTAAATTCTTGATAATTCTGCAACTATTTCATGCAAAACATTAACCACAATATAAGAACAATATATAATTCATTCACTTATAAAGCAAAAAATGCACAATTTACCAATATATAAGAATAGAAGAACTTGGCTCAGCTGTTTAACAGAGTGGATATACATATATTATTGGTGCGGCCGATTGCAACCAAAATATAAGGTGCACATCTACATGTTATAGCAGTCCTATGTACAAAATTTCAACGTTCTGAGGCTACACATTTTTTAGTTAAGCGAGATACGTCCATACAGATGTCATGAAAATATATCTTCTGAATCCATTTTAAATCAATTTCACAATTCCCGTTTTGGAAAAAAGTGTCCTTTATTCTGTCCGGTTGTACAGATGTAATGCAAAAACATCATTCAAATGGAATCTAGAATAGTTTAAGTTTTTCCCCACATTTTCCAGTGTCAAACCAATATTTTACTGCTTTCTTTGAGGGGTTAACTAAAAATAAATTGGAATAACATGAGGTTGATTTTTATTCTAAATTTACAATACACAATCTCAAATCTCATACTTTAAAAAACCTTGGTCAATATTTGTTGTATGGAAGACAAACTTTGTTTTTTAAAAAATATCAACTCACATTAAGAAAACTATATAAACATTAGATTTCGTTACAGTTACTTGACCTTTCAAATTTAGAAAAAAAATCAGTTACCTTTCAGTCGTTTCTAATAATTTGCCTACAATAACCTCAAAACATTCAGATAAACAGTATGTATTTGGCTCCTGGTTTTCATCAGTTACTTCTGCAGCTTCAAAAGCAGCTTCAGCAAGACTACTGAATGCCTGTTAATAAATACGTAAAAAAAATCTGAATTTTGAACGAAATAGTTTCTACACTAATGTATCTTTTTAAACATACCTGAATTATAGCACAATTATCTATTAATCACAAGACAGCTTTTATTGCATACAAATCCAGAACACTCATTTCAAATATGATAAAATTTATGTTCTGAGAATTTTTTAAGCACTACTTTTACATTTAATTGTTATTTCTGTGATAAAAAAAATATTTTATTAGAATGTACATTCCAAAATATTATTAAATATGAAAAAATGGGTAACTAAGTAATGCAAAATTATTAATACATTATAAATCAGGCTAGGAAAATTTTATCAATACAAATCAAGCTGGCTGTTTCCATCATAGCAGCTTTCTGAGACAGACACTGATCAGAACAGACGTAAATTCCTGATGTATGTATGATTGGAAAGTTTTGAAAGTTAGATGCACTTTGACTCAGTCTCGTAGCTTTGTGCAAATTTGCTGGAATTAAAGACTCAATTAATATACAGTATTTAATATAGAGTTCCTATAAGCCACTGAAGCACCAGAGGCGACAAGTTGTTTTGTATCATTAGCTGTAAGGAACAAAATTTTAAGTTAATTTATATATATATATATATTGTTGTATCTTGCAGCCACAATAAGGATTAAGGAAAGGCGAGACCTCGCCTTAACATGTTGAGATAACTTATTATATAACATAAGGATGAGCGGTTAGTTACAAATAATTAGATATCCTTAATCATAACAGATTTACACGGTTACAGTTTTTTTTATTATTATTTCTAAAAATATCGCTGAAAAAGCATAAAGAACATTTTAAGCAGTTATAATTTACGATATTGATTCTAAGATGTTAGTAATACATTTAAAGTTACAAAACATTTGTTTTATAGCAACAAACTATTTATACTTCTTTCAATAAGAAAATTTTCCAGATATTCTAAATAATTTCCATGATTTTCTTCTCTTTACCTTCTTTTCTAAGAAAAGTTCCCACTAGTCTGCTTCAGCTCCTAGTTTGTTAAAGAATAATTTTTTCTTTCTTTATAAAATCTATTTTGTCTTCAACAAGTTTCCATTTAGAATATTTCGATTTAAGTAAAGATTCCTGTTCTAAAGAACTCCTTGTAATTAGAATGTATAGAAGATACTACTAAATTTATTAGCTACTTTTAAAATGTTATACAAGTTTATTATAAGTATATACAGTACAAAGTCCGTAATCCGGACTCGTTGGGACTTCGGCGCTCTTTATAAATAGTCTATGTAATTATGGAGATTATTAATTATGTATTATTGGAGACTTTATCGTTTGTGCTGGCAAAACAGAAATGTACCGAATTTTCCTTTATTAAGATGCCTGCAACACCAGTTTCCAAAACTACCATTACTGGTGCATTATCGATACCAAGTGCTAAGCAATTCTGCAGAGAAATTTAATTTTATTTTAAAGTTTACTAATTAGTTGTGCTATATTAAAAGCCTGTCAAATCTTCTTCTAAAGTGAGAACAGAAAGTAAAAACTCAATTTCTGATGACTTGGATTAAAGAAACAATCGGATACTGGGTATTTGAAAAGTACATGAGTACTATTGGTTTGACCCATACAGGCAGAATGCAGCTGCTTTTAACGAAATTAATAACTGAAGATTTTTTATCCCCATTTCTTTAATAATTGTAGCCATTTCGGTCTTTACGCTCGAGCATTTCTTGGTGATACTACTATTGGGAAACATTTTTCTAAATAAAGCTGCTATATGATCCAATACATTCAGTGGCATGTTGTGCTCTATTGAAAAGGTAGAGAACAGGCATTCTGCATTAATAACTTTTTGTTGCTCCCACAGAAAAATGCACTATGTTCTTTCAATATAACTCACTTTATTGCTGTATTTTTGAGTACATGTTTGAAAACATCAGCCCTTCCACCATGCAAAAATCGAAAGACAAATGTACACACACACACACAAAAAAAGTATTGCATTGAAATAATGAAAGTCATCTATGTAAGACTTTCATAAAGTACATGGGTATTTTATCTTTTTTGCAAACTTAAGACAAAAGATTACAAATTTCTTAAACTCTTTCTCAAAAGCACACAAAACTCTGAACACTCAGTGGCAAGATTAACAAAATAACCTTAATCTTGCTTTGGTCTTATTAGCTAATACATGGCAAATGAGTTCTAACATCTTTTTCTATTCTTAAACTAAATTTGCTTAATTTTAAAAATGAATCTTGGAATAAAGCTAAAACAGTTTTACTTCCATATTCTTTCTCTCAAATACATACCCATCCCCCCAAAAGGGGGGAGATATCGATCAGACACAAATTAAAAGAAAATCAAATAAAAACTTTCATATTTTTCCTATCAGAATGTCAGTATTAGATACCTACTCCACAACAAATAGAACTTTTATAAAACATTTAAAAACAGAAAAAGATGTCAACTATTTTTTCTAATTAAAAACTTTTAATTCATGAAAACGCCTTAGACCCCAATTTTAAGACACTACAGAGCAGGAAAAAAACAACATACCCAACAAACATTGGATGCAACACGTGGTTCTGCAGCCAGACCTTTCACCAAAGCTTCTAGAAGAGGCTTTAAGTAACTTTCATTTACTGCTGCTTCAGGATTAAGTTCACACACTCTTCCAATAGTCCAAGCCACAGTGTCTCTTACAACGACACTCTCATCTGACATTAATTCAATTAGCATAGGCATGGCTTGTTCAACAACAGGCTTCAAATTGCTTGGATCAGGGCCTTCCAAAATGCAACCTAAGTAAACAAGCAGTTGATAAAATTCTTGCCTGGAATTTTTCAATAGTAATTTTACTTGTCTTTTTAAGTACTTGTACTACTTACCAAATGCCATAACAGCTGCATCCCGATACCTCCAATCATGGTGCTTGATGTTATTTTTAACAAAGGGCAGTACGTGTGGAACAATGTCATCTTCGCAGCATGCAGCCATAAGCATAAGACAGACACCTGCTGCTTTACAAGGAATCCAATCATCTTCATCATCATGTTCTTCCTATGAACACAAATCAGTTTTATACATCCATCTTTACAAATGTCTTCCACTATTTATAACAACAAATTACATTGGATTTAATATGAAAAGCTGCTACCATTATCCAATCCTTAAAATTTAAGCCATTAACAATCACACTCTTCCTGAAGATTTAAATTTAAAAGTTTCATTATTATATTCACATAAACAGGCTCAGCTACTTCTCCTTACAGATGTGTTGTTTTACAATAGCTTTTTGCTTTAAAAACAGAAAATTAAAACTTAAAATAATTAAATAATCAACCAAAAAATGACATTACTGGTACATATTCTAATTGTAATGTCTTAGCAACAACCATCTTGCCTATACCAATGACATTCTGGTCATCTTTTATGCTGCCATATCTCTTCTACCTTAAAACAGAGATACAAGAAAATCCATAGAAATGTGAGAGTGATCTTTTTGAAAAACTCTTAGAAAACATAGTGGTCAAAATTTTTAGTACTTTTCTGCTATTGGGACTGGATTCAGAAATGTATGTATGCATGTATGTATGCATACACACACATATATGCTCATACATACATTTCTTAATGGGGTTCCAATAACAGAAAAGTACTAAATTTTCTGGATAGTATGATTTGCTTTTAGATGAGCAATTCCTGCAAGAAATTGTCTGCTTTATCAAATGAGAGGCATGTATTAAATGTCTGGCAATAAATATCAATATATTCTGAAAGAACACAAAATTTCCATCATAAAAAAAATTAGTTTGTTATTTCTTCTAACAATACCTACAACAAATAATGCATTCCACACTGGTTTTATGCAGCATACTTCAGTAGAATCTGGAAACGCTGCTGAAAAGTTTAGAATAATCAGAAATTGAAAAGTTCTGTGTCGTGACCAATGATTGTGGGTTCTTTTCTTGCCTTATTCAGCATCAAACATGAAATAAACTAAAACTTTTTTAGTTTATTTTTTATTTACTTTTGCTTTTTAAATGTTTTTATTCAGAGTAACATTGTGCAACAACGATATCTTTCATCAAAAATTTTCTAATGATTTTTTTAAATTTTTAAACCATTCAGCCCATTATCTATTTCGAAGTACAATATAATAATTGGGCTCTACTCTTATAATGCCCTAAGATGACCAAATGTGGCGATACAGTCAAAAGTCGTTAATTCGGACACCCATAATCCGGACCTCAAAGCTACAAACTTTCTGCGTAGGCGTTTATGAGTGTGCGTAAGACCTTTATGGCTGCGAATATGAGTGTGCGCATGCGCGTTTAATGTGTAACGGACGGTAAAAGCTAAGCTAAAATTATCTAATTCAGTTAATGTTGCAGATTGCATTGTTCCTTAATCTTCGAATTGGATCCAGCTTATTATTTTTTGCAGACGGTTAGAGCAATTTTATAAAAGTAAGCTTGAACTTTCGATTATGTCAAATAGAATTTCCGATATATATTTACTATTATGTAAAGGATCTATAGAGCGAAAGTATGTTTCGAAATCCGAAATCTGTTTATCAATTTCACGCCGCAGCGCGCAATGAATTGGAAGTTGATTTGTCAGCATTATCCTTACCTTCAGGGCAGATGTTTTTATTTTTTATTTGGCTTATAATTCCTTACTAAATGTAATATTTAATCTCGATGTACTCCGTCTTTGATATGATTCAAATCAAGTTCCTCGTCATTATAATTCGCTTCCGATAGTGAAGAAAGTGACCCAGAGGTTATTGAAAATGAAAAAATTTCGATTGACAAATTAGTCGGTATTCTCAACACAGCATATATAGGACTTGAACAGCGGAACTTTGTAACTAAACGAGAAATTATGTCTGTTTAATAGAATTAAAGAGAAAGTATTATCACATGAAACGAAGCAACTTACATTGAAAGAAATGTTTAATAAAGTAAACAAATAAATATTAAGCTTTTTTTTTTTTGTAAATTTTGATACCCTTTAGATCATAATTGTTCTTTATTTCATAAATTACGGTTTCATATTTTTAATTTTGTAATTACTGCATGCCATCTTATTAGATTTAAACTGATGATCTATAATCCGGAAATACTGATAATCCGGAATCGCCAAAGTCCCGACGAGTCCGGATTAACGACTTTTGACTGTATATGTTGTGTTAGTTTTTGACATAATTGAGTGTTGTATGGCAAGCCTTTTGACATTGAATACTCCTTTGCTGGATTGGTTTAATTGCTCGTTGGTTCGTGTCGTGTGTGGTTTGAAATGGCCAATGTTGCAATGAAAGGCGTGGTTGCAAGAGGGTCTGGGAGATTATTTTTAGTGGCTGTGCATGATAGAAGTAAGGACAAGCTGATGCAGTATATTAAGGAATGCATTCAGCCTTGTACAACTATTTTTTCGGATGGCTTGAAATCTTACAAAGATTTAAGAAAAAAAGGTTTTGAACATTTATTTGTGAACCATAGTATGAATTTTCTGGATAGTGTGTCTGGCTGTCATATAAATACAATAGTGATTATGTGGCGGCATGAAATTGGTATTTTTGTTGTTCGAAAAAGCATTCATTCATGATAAGTGCATTTTATTTTATTCTTGTTCTTATTTTGTAGAATGTTATGTTCATTGTTTTTTTAGAATGAATTTCTGTCGTTATTGTTGGTTTTTTTAATTGTTTGAAATTTATTTTAGTTAACTTTGTTGATTAGTACTTAGTGCCTAGATTGTGCAATTCGTAGATGTTTTTTAAAATTGAAACGGGATTAAATTAAAGGGAGATGTGCGTAGTTCGCTGCCTAGATTGTACAATTCGTAGATTTTTTTTAAGTGGAAACAGAACACTGTACAGATGGTATTCTTTGAAATTTATTCTTATGTTAATTTATTAAAGCGAGGTGTACGTAGTTCATAGATTATTTCACTGCTTAGATTGTGCAACTCATAGATTTTCTTTCAAGTTAAAACACATGGCTGTGTACATTGATTTTTGTCAAATATTTTTTGTTAGAAACTTTTCATTTTTGCTATTTCAATTTTTTGTTTTTGTTTCGGATTTTTAGCTTAAATTGTGTGTTCAAAACGTGGTTTTTGCATGTGCTAAAACCGTGCTTTGAGAGACATTTTAGGCTTAAAGTTCGAAATGTAGACAAACAATTTAGATGGTAATATGGCACCGTGGAATTTCTCGCCAAAAATTCCAATTAATTGTAATCACTTTGCGTGGTTTGCTTTACTGTCCCTCCCCCACCTGCATTTCGCTGGCGTTGGCATCTTCGTTCTTCATAGAGGGTGCCAGTGCCTCACATTCTGTATAATTAAAAATTAAAGATAAAGGAGAGAAAAAAAGGATTGGGCTTTGGTTGGCATTTTTTTCCCATTTTTCTTGTGCTAATTTCTTTATGGCTTTGAGGAAAATGCATGTCATCTACAATTATTTTTTCACCCCAAAAGTATGTTGCATATAGTGCACGATTTATAGAAATTTTAGATTCTTAAATCTATGGAAACTCTGAAGAATAAGAGTCTTAAATTATGGGCTCAATAATTTTATGCTATGATCTCTTTTCAAGTTGGCAAATCACAAACTTAGGAAACTTACACTTCAATCAAAACTCTCAAGAATCATGTGTTATATTTTCTAGTCACAATCCAAATGGAACAGAACCAAATGACCTGCAGGGTAAGTTTGGTAAATTATGGAAAAGTATTAAAGGGTTATCTGCTTAAGAGGAGGGATGCCTTTGTGAAAGACTTTCTATGGAATTTTCAGATCTACAAATTGACAGTTCCCTATAACTACAAAACTTACCATGTTGTTATTATGTTACCATGCTGTTATGCTAAATGTTATTCATTTTGCAATAAATGGATAAATAAGTTGGCTCCATTTTATACACCACTTCCCTATGACTTCCCTTTAAAAAAAAAGTTTAGTTTTTAAGGCATTTTCACAGACACTACAGCAAATCCATATTAAGTCGAGTCTATCTACAATGCTATAGGTATTTATAGTCGTTTCATGAATACATATGTGTGTATGTTTATACAAGGTGCGACACACATACCAAAAAAAAAAAAAAAAAAAAAGACTAAGTGTGCAGCTTGAAAACAGAGAGTAGGCCAACAACTGTTTTGATAAAGTCATGCCACACATCTCCTCTATCCATACAGCCAGTTTCGACTTAACCGACCATACCAGTGCAGAGTACTGCGTCATAAGAGTATTAGACATTCTGCGCGAAGAATGTCTAATCTAAAAACCGAACAGCGAATCAACATCCATCAATATTATACGATGGGCATGATGTACAGTTTTTTTAAAAAGAAAAGAGGGAGAGCATGTCCATTTACCCCCCCCCCCATTTGCCTGTCGTGATTTCTCAACGGTTCTGCATCGATCACAGAAACCGCCCGGGTGACGTTCAAAAAAGCTGAATTCCGCGAAAACCTTTCATACCTGGACAGGGTCCAAGCAAAGTAATTTAAGTAAAAAAGAGGAACATTTTCTGAAATCAGGAGACCGGAAATTACTTCATGCAGTCATCCTTTAACAGTAAAAGCTTAACTAACCCACATACTCGGAAATTGCCGAATATTCCGTACAGTCGAGCGTAACTGGAAAAAGAGGAGAGGGGGATTGTAGCCGTTCTTTAGATTTCTCGGCTAAATAAATGATTTTGACATTTCGATATGTGCATCATATAAAAATAGACCAACGGAACTGAGAAATATTCTGCTTAGAAAGCACAGTAAAACTCTTAAGTGTTTATAAATAAATCTCAGACTGAACACCAAAATTAATTATCTCTGCAAAATACCGCAAAGGTTATTGTGCAATACGTGCGGCATAATTCTTCCACATGTGATATTACGCAATTGGAATCAACAGCTGCCGGTATTTGGAGAATAAAGAACTAAATACAGGAAAAGAAAGAGACTTACTAATCTAAGGGGTTTTTTTATTCTAATTTTTGAAAAGACTGTGTTAAATTTCCGGAATAGAATCATTCTTCGCTTGGTTTAGGTAGACCACAAAACTTTTAGTCCTATTCAACGCAGATTGGACAATGACAAAAAAAAAAAAAAAAAAAGTCTGCTGCTTCAATATTAGAGATTTGCGGAGAAAGGGGAGAACCTCCCAACCTCTGTACTGTATAATGTATTGGGGGGAAAAAAAATTGACTATTCGATTACTTTCATTTTATTTAAGCCATTCCGAATATTATTCCTTAGAAAGCTAATCTGTGTAAAATTACAACCATTTTTGGAAGTTTATCTACACTTCAGCAGCTACTGCAACTATATTATTATAAATATTCATACATATACTCATAATATAAGCATAACGATCATATATAAACACGAATATGAACTGACCACACGGAACGAGAATGCAAATTATTAAAATCTTGATAGAAATCCAAACGTGTTTAGTATTTGGGTGGGGAGGAAAAGAATACCGAATGTACCGGACTTTTCTACAGTTTTCGCAATTCTTTGACCAATAGAACGACGTACATTTAATGCAGAGAAAGGGGGAAAAGCTATTTCCGGGAGTATGATTCACCATCTGACGTTCCACATAAGGAAGAAAAGTAGTTTATTTAGTTTCGACTTTGGTACCGGGGGGGGGGATGCGCATTCATTTAGAAAAAGCACTAAAAGCAAAAAATAAGCAAAAAACAAAATAATAAGGGCTTTAAAGAAAAAGTAAGCACCTATAAGGGCCTTTATATTTTATTTTCAAATATAAGGACTTATAAGCACTTGTAAGGACTGCTACAAACCCTGCTGGATGTTGCACCAGGACAATGCACTCGCTCACACGGCCCTTATCTGTCAAGCAAAAACATTATCGTGATGGGTTATCCTCCTTAATACCTGATTTGGCTTCATGGAACTTTTGCTTATTTCCTAAAGTTAAATCTTGCTTAAAGGGAACCCATTTTACCTCAGCTGAAGAGGTTCAGACAAAAACAGAGAATTTCCTGAAGGGCCTTCCAAAAACCTCATTCCAGAGCTGTTACCAGCCATGGCAACATTAAATGCAGAAGTTTGTTAATGCTGACAGGAACTACTTTGAAGGTGATAATGGCACAGAGAACTAACTGATTCTGTAAGTACAATGAGTAATTGGACTGGCCTCTTTTTTTGTGTGTGTGTCATACCTTGTATATACATTCACTTACTGAATTTATACATCATATTTCAAACACAGGAAAATACAAGTCCCTTAATGTTTATTAGAAAGTGTACTATATAACACACAAAATCTGCTGCACACACAGGAAACCAAATTTATAAGTACCTTTACACAACTGAAACTAAGCTGGAAACTGAGTAAATATCGCTAGTTTAATATGAAAAGATAAAATTTCTGAATGCAATATGTCAATAGAAAAGTAAATAACTTACTTGTTTTGTTAAGGTCTGCATAAGAATTGGCACTAAATATTGTAGGGCACCCTTGGCATAAAAGCGAGATGTTCTGGCAGGGGGTCTTCCTTGTTCAGCAGCCTGCGATATAAATTACTACATTAAGAGCAGTGCCATAAGTAATAAATTTTAAAAAACAAAAATGAGAACTATTACTTACTTCAGTAGCCTCAATATCTAAATCTACTTCTTCATCACAGACGTTAGACCAAAATTCAATTCCCTGAAGAGCTACTTCATCAATATCACTTTTCATAGCTTCCATTGTAATCTGAAAAACATGTTTCATATTTTTATACCAAGACATTACAAAATTATAAGTATTTATGTTAACATTTTTAAACCCAAAGCTATAACAGAAATCTACTAATTTTGAAGCAACAAAAGCAGAAAAGTCTACATACAGCAAATAAAGCAGGTCCCATATATGTTTCCATGTACTGATAATATAATGACATGATTTTCACTAAGCATTGGAGTGCAGCAACTCTAACCTAGGGAAGAAAAAAAAAAAAATTTAAATCTGGATGCTTTCAGATTTTATATTACGCCCAATGAGCCCTTTTTTTATGTTCCATGTGTTACCTTTATTAAAGATCATGGTCTTCACACTTGAACCACAAAATTCAACAGTATTATCACAAAATATTTAAAAGAGCATCTCTTTAGAATTTCCAATACACAGTCTCGCACATTGGAGATAAAAAAAAAATTTTTTTTTTTCCCATACCGTGTTGAAATTGCCGAGTTTTGAGTTTTTAACCAAAAACTCTTATGAAATAGATAAAACAAATTCCAAATTTGGGCTTCCAGATGCCCATATTTTGGTAAAGACATGTTATTCAAAATTTGATAGATCTATGTTTCATTTTATCACAATGTGAAAAACATACATACATACATTTATGCAAAATCTTCATTATTTAATTTTTTTAAATATAATACAGGGCTCTAATATTTAATAGCAACAATTTAAAATGTGATTCGCTGTTTACAGTGAATCAATGCAAAAATGCCAAAATGAAATTAATAGCCCTTTGGGCAAAGTGCCTCTAATGAAAATACGTAAACCAATTTCTTAATTAAATTTACATTTAGGTTGAAGGAAACCAATGCTTACAATCACGGGTGGCCAAAACGCGATGCACTGGATAAGTGGTGCTTCAGTTAGAGTCAGGCGATTGTGGTAACAAGTTTTAAAGCATAGTTTTTGCAACAGCTACATATATATATTTCATGATACAATGTAATTTGATGATCAATGTGATCCATTTGCTCTTTTTTAACATTTGATAAAGTTTCGTACTTTTCTATGGTCTTAAAACTCTTTTATCAAACACAATGCAAACTAAAACGACTAAACGAAACATAGAAAACTGCCTACTGCTGCTAATGAACAGTAGGAAAATGAGTTAATATTTATAGCAAATTCAGCTTGAATACTGTTTTGCATTGTTTGTGAAAATACTTTTTTGATGATCTTAATTGACACTATAAACAGAGCTGTGAAAAGAATATGTGGCTAAGAAAAAGGAAGAAATCAGAAGACAAAATACATTTGCTGAGTTAAGTTTTGAAGAATCAGCAATGACTGAAATGTCACATGAAATTGCTTTATCATTGGTGAATGGAGATGAAATTATCAGCAAATATTTCCAAGCCAACTTTATAATAAAGGTATTGAAAGGAAAGCAGATGAAATTGCTACTTATTGCAAACAGTTACGAGATATTTCAAGGAAATCTTTCAGCATGTATCCAGCGATTAAAAGACCTTGTTCATTCTCATTGTACTTTCTTCTCTAACTCTGAATGAATCAAATGTTGGCAAGTTAAAAATTTTTATACTAAGAAATGATGACAATTTTAATGTATTTTAAGAACTTGCCAGTCTGGAGTCACTGCATGGTAAAACAAGATGATCAGACATATTTGAAAAAGTTAAATCAAGCCTAGGACATCTAAAATTAGATCGTAGCAAACTCAAAACGTATATACAGTAGACTGCCAATAATCCGAGGAGCACATTATCCGCGCCTCCTCACAAAGTTTTTTTTTTTAAACAAGCGTAAAGCAAAGAAAATAAAAATATTCACAAAACTAACTGAGCGAAACGTTAAATTTGCTAACATCGTGCTTATTTATGGCAAAAATATCCCAGGCCTTCTCGGAACCTTCCCCTCTGATGAGTAAGCGATTTCTTACTCAGCCTTGCATTGATCGCTCCACCGCCTTCACTCGTCTTAATCTTACCGACATGTCCACCTCCTCCCACTCGCCGTTGTTAGTTTAAGGCTGATAGTGTTTACAAACCGGTCGGAGTTCATTTCTTATCTTTTATTGTATTCAGTGCTTATGCTCTTTGGTTTTGTGTTTTTCGTTACCGATTTAAAATGTCAGGAAAATGAAAGAAGTTGTGTTGACAATTGCGCAAAAACTAGAATTAATTCCAAAGTAGCAAACGGCGCCACAAGGCAGCAGATGGAATTGGATTATGGAATCGCAGAAACAACAGTGTGTAACATTCTAAAGCAAAAAGACAAACTGGTGAACTTTGCATCAATGTCGGACAGCGCTTCCGCATTGATGAGCTAGACACGGCATTGACAGAGTGGTTAGCTCAAGTTCGAAAAGAATGTACTCCTGTAAATAGTCCTATTATTGTGGCCAAGGCAAAAATCTTTTTTGAGTTGTTAGGCCTGAAAGGAACTTTTGATGAGTCTTCTGGCTCGTTGACTCGTTTTAAGCAGCGACATGGAATTCAAGAAATTGGACTTTATGGGGAGAAACTTAGTGGTGTCCAACAAGCAACCGACGATTTCCACCATGAATTTGAAGAATTTGTTTTAAAAGAAGAGATATCTTTTGAACAAATTTACAATGCCGACGAATCGGGACTTCTGTGGAAATGTCTTCCCACTCGCACTTTAGCATTTGAAAGTGAAAGTAAAGTGGTGGGTCATAAAAGCAGCAAGGAAAGGATCACTATCATGTCTTGCAATAATGCAAGTGGTGGACATAAACTTAGACTTGTTGTCATTAGAAAGTAAAAAAAAAAAAAAAAAAAAAAACCCTGAGATCTTTCAAAGGCACAAGGATAGAAAGTTTGCCCGTTGATTACTTTAACCCGCCCCCAAAAAAGGGGGAGGGATGAACCAAAACATTTTTCAAGAATGGTTCGAAAAAATCTTTGTTCTTCAAGTGCGTAAACATCTTAAATGGAAAAATCCCTGCCTGAAAAGACTGTGCTATTGATCGAGAACGCACCTTCTGACCCAGCAACAAGCGTGCTAAAGGCTTCTGATGGACAAATTTTTGCAAAGTTTCTCCCCCCAAACGTTACTACGATAATCCAACCCATGGACCAAGGAGTCATTGCAACAATGAAGAGAACATACCGAACCAAGTTGCTAATGACCAAAATTGAAGAAGTTTATGATCTGAAAGAGTTTTGGAAACACTACACAATCTTGGACAGCATCTATGATATTACATCTGCATAGGACTCTGTGAAACAGTCAACCCTCATAAAATCATGGTGGAAACTCATGTCTAATGTTGAAGCCAGCAACAACCTAACCCCTTTGAGTTGTGAAGAAGAGAATGAAGATATAGACACGCCCACGGCAACTCTTGCCGATATGGTGAAAACAGTTCCGGGTGCTGAAAAAGCCGATGCTGAAAACATACTTGCCAACCTAGGACACTTAAAAATCTCGAGTTTTTTTTTTTTTTTTTTTTTTTTAAGAAATCAGATTTTTCACAGTTTTAAAAAGACTTTTTAAATGATAAAAATGTAGTTTTAAATAATGAATTAACTTTAAATAGTTACTAATTCTTAAATGCAAACAACACAATATCTTACACATAAAAAACATTTTTAGTACTTGTATTAAGTAGGGGGGAAACCACACTTTAATCAGTTTTCATACAAATTGTTAGGAACAGTGGCAGATTTTGCTTTTGTTAAGAAACTTCATAATTATGTTCATAGCAATTGCCACGTAGGCCTGCTTTAACTAATAAAAGTTTTTCAGGATGTGTGATCACTAATATTAGATCTAAATTTAGTCTTCATTTATGCAACAGCACTGAAAATCCTCTCACATTCTGCATTACTATGGGGAACTGTCAAGATGGCCAACATAATTCTAGACAGTTCAATATATTTTTTAATTCCATCAGAAACTTTCAGTTTTCCAATTAAACTCCACTGGATCCTAGCTGATTTTATAACTTCATTAAGTTTTCTAATCGTAAACTACAAAATTGCAACTGCAATATTATCAGTGGCAACAATAATATCATCATCTTTCATGACTAAATGAATTAACAGAGGAAATCTGTTCAAAAAGTACCTTATATCAGAAAAACTTCACAAGATAAAAAGATACAGTAATCGGAAAATGTTTCGTGTGTTGAGCAATTTTTTTTATTTTGAGAGAAATTTGTATCAGCTTTACGCTTATATTTTGCGGTATTATTTTGAGAACTGCCAATTGAATTGCGCAGAAATTACTTTATTTTTCTCAAACCTATTTTTAACAATAGAAGTAGTAACTACATCTCCATTTACTTTAGGTATTTTATAACTTTCAATAGAGGCTTTTATCTTAAATCTCGAAGCATTTACTTCTTCTTTAAAAAATGCAAGGAAAAGGTTCCATTGATCAAGGATTCTAGATAAGCATTTCTTTAAAGACAGTACGTGTACATACGTTTCAAAAATTTTCTCATTTCAGTATTATGCAGCTGTTGGAATTGTTTCAATTTTTCCTTCCTTTTAGAACTCCTTTCAAGATAATAATAAATATCAACAACGTGTTTATCCACATTTATTGGTAAAGAAGCTACCCCTTTTTCAGCAGCTAAATTTAAGAGGTGATAGGTGCACCTTATAATCTGCAAATCTGAATTTTCCTTTCTTAAGATGCCTGCAGCACCAGTCTTCAAGCCTACCATTACTGGTGCATTATCAGCACCAAGTGCTAAACAATTATCCAGAGGGACTGCATTTTCTTTTCAAGTTTTAATAATTAGCTGTGCTATATTAAAGCCTGTCAAATGTCCTTCTAAAGTGGGGAGAGAAAGTAAACGGCACTCAATTTCTGAAGACTCTGGATTGAAAAAAGGAAAAACAATGGATACAGTTTTGAATCAGTATCACTACTTCCATCCGTAGAGAGGCAGAACGAAGCTGTTTTAATGCAATCAGTAACTGAAGCGTTATTTTCAAATCCATTTTTTTTAACAATTGCACCTGTTTTGGTCCTTGCACTTGAGTATTTTTTAGCGAGTTTACTATCGGGAAACATTTTTCTAAATAAAGCTGCAGCATGATTCAATGCATTCAGTGGCAGGTTGTGCTCCAGTAAAAAAGCAGAGAACAGACATTGTGCATTAATAACTTTTTGGTCCTTTGTTTCCGAAGAAAAATTTAATTTTTCGTTTTTTTCAAAACAATTTATGCGGTCCTTGAGTTTTTGTGTTTGCACGTTTGAGACATCCGCCCTTCCACCATGCAAAATCGAAAAATCGCAATGACAGACGATACACACCGCAAATTTATTACATTTCCTTGAGGAAGTAATGGAAGGAAAGTCAAGTGTGTACGATTTTTGAAACATACACGAGTATTTCACCTTTCTCACAGACATAACAAAAGATGATAATTTCTAAAACTATTTCCCGAAGGCACGTGTACTCACATAACTCAGGACAAGATGAATGAAATAACGAAAGAACATCCAAATAACAGCCTTAAGCTTGCTTTGTGCTCATTGGGCTAATATATACCAGATGACATGCAGTGGAGCTCGATGCCCATTGGAGAACTGGAGAACGAAGTTTCTTGATACGTATATGCTTTCACTTACAAAGCAGAAGTTCTCATATGATTCACAAGGTTTTGTTTTAGATATAATCTAGAGAAAATTAATTGCTTTCAGACATCCAAAATCACTTTTTTTTTTGTTGTTGTTGTTTTTATAACGAGGTATTAAGCTAATTTCCATAAAAATCGTGTGAGAAGATTTTAAGAATAAGAAAAAGTCGGGAGAAATATATTGTAAATCGGGTTGGCGGGAGAGCTGTCGAAAATCAGGAGTCTCCCGCCTAAATTGGGAGAGTTGGCAACTCTGTGAAAACATTAACGAGCGGTTGGAGTGTGACGTCACCGAACCTGGCTTCGAACGCTTGACAGATGACAAAATTGTGAAGAAAGCAAGGGGAGAGACCGAAAATGAAGGACAGCAAAGTGAAGGCGAAGAGCCTACTGTGCAGATGCGGAAGACTCACAAAGCAGCTTTGCTGAGCTTGAGTCGACAGACTGCTGAGCTGTTTGGAAGAACAAGACGACGCGGAGTTGGCCAAGAAACTTATGCTACGAAAAATGCAATCTCGGATCATGAGAAAATGCTTCCAAAGCAAGAAGCAAACATAAGTGACTGATTTCTTCAAAACGGTGTAGTTTTACAGTTATGCTTTTGTAATTACATAATACATTACAGTATTAAAACATTACATATGTATTTTTTTGTGTATCCTTGACGCCTCTCGTAAGTACAAAGTACTTTTCTGTTTTCATTAACAAAATGCATTTTAGGTTAGTTTTGAGTGATATACTAAAATATTAAGCATTAGTTAAACATTTCCTGCTGTTTACGTTTTATTGTACATAAAAGGATTTTTCAAAGTTAGAATGACTGTTTTCTCTTTTGCTATACCCGTTTTTAGCTTTTTTCGGATTATTCGCAATTTTTGTTATCCGTGGCGACCGCGCCAACCCAATTCCGCGGATAATCGGGAGTGTACTGTACTGGCAGAGTGCCATGATTTCAATGAAAGTTTTTTAAATCATCCTACATTAAAATATCACTGCATTATACGCCGAAAGGCATTGCGTGAAAACTTTAAATATACAACTTGTTACATTACCCTTTATGAAATGTGAATAAAATTAGAACAAGATCGTTACACATATGAGAATTCTGAGAATATTTGCGAATTGGTAGATTTGGAATATGGTAATCTTTAACTTCATAGTGATGTGGCTTTCTAGAGGGCAGATTGTGAGCAGATTTTGGAAACTGGAAATGCCGTTTCTAGTTTTAGAACAGGAAAACGAACTATCTGAGAAAAGAATTATTTCATGTCAGGGTACCTAATTTAGGATTTTTAGTTGTTATTACTAGTCACCCCAATGATCTAAATTTAAAACTACAAAGCAAGAATAAATTACTTTCTAGATCAGTAAAAAGTAAGAATTTATTTGTAATGAAATTAAAAATTTTCATCTCTTCAGAAAATGCGGATTTGAGCCAATTTCCATGATTGAAAGAGCCGGGTGAATTTCCTAAAAATAATAACAATTTGATCAAATATTTTGAAAAAGTCAAAATATTGCAAAGGACATTTTTATAGCTGTTTTCATAATATTGTCAAAGAAGAAAACTGTATTCTTGCCTTTATAAACCCATTTTCACATAATGAACAAAACAATGTATTTAACATACAACTTATGAACTAGTATTACGAGTACTAGTACATTCTAATGAAATTTTGATGACTTTTCTTCAGACCAAAATGCTTCAGTTGTAATTCATTTTAGGTATTCATTACCATGCAAACATTTCCCAGAGAAAAGAATGTCTACAAAAAAATTATATATGCCGCTTTGGAATGACAAACAGGTGCAAACAAGCATTTTCAAAATGAAATTCATTGAAAGCAAAATAAAGTTAAGTGATTCAAATTCGAAGAATTCTCTACTACTCGCAGTAACAAATTTAACACCAAACACTAAAAGACTAGCGAAATCAAAGACTCTAAAATTTCATTAATGGTAAATAAATCATTTTAAAAAGTTAACTATGTCCATAAACATACTTTTGTATAAACTGTCTATAACCACAAACATAAAACGGTATAAAAAGTGTTCCTCAAGTTATATGGTGCATCTGAACTCGTCTGTCAAAAAATTGGCATCTGGCATGCAAAAGGTTGATTATCCCTGTACTAAATGACAAAATCTAAAGCATGTTTGAAACATTAAACGAAAATACTTTTACTTTTTGAGCAATTAAAAATTATTTATGACATTTTGAAAGTTTTTAGCTGAAATTTCAATTTACTTAAATAAATTACCTAATACATGCTAGTTAAAGTCATATTCATAATGTTAAAACAAAATACAAACTTTTGTATCAGTGGACTGAGTTGCTTCACAGACAACTTGCATTATAAAATGGCGTTCCGACTCTTTTTCAAAATTTGCTTTCGTAAATTCTAGAGAATTTAATAATGCATTTGTAGCTGCAAGCTTGACATGATCACTAGGTTCATCTTTACGGATTCCATGGACTATGGCAGTAAGAATATCATTTGACTGGGAAACTAATACTTCAGGTTCCTAAAAAAGAAATATATATATAACTAAAACCAATTTCATGCTAACGAAAAAGAACACAAATATGTAATTAAAGTATTAAATTCTAGATTTCCTTCAAGTATCCAATGATAGAGTACTAATTTCATTAATCATAAATTTTATATTTTTGTATTCATACAGGGAAATTTGATGCAGTAAAAAATTTAAAAGTGAATGTCAATGTGCTAGGAAGGTAAAATTCTGCAACCCAAACCTCCCTAAAGTTATATAAAAGTAGACTGCTATGGCCAATCTTAATTTTACTCATTGTGTTAAAGAGGTTAAACTTCAACTTATTTTCCTTTGAATATTAAAATGTATAATAATCAAAGCTGGCAGAATCGTGTTAACTGTATAAATAACATTAAATACAAACCTATGCAACACTTATACCGTACCTTCCAGTGTATAATGCACTCTTTGAATTTTAAAAAAGATTGAGATCTAGGCGTGTGCATCATGCATAAAAATGAGATTTAAAAATTAGGAAAAATTAAGCACACAAATTAGATTTAAAAAAAATAACATACCCTAATAATTTTCTTACCAGATAACATGAAATGCTCATCATATTTGTCTGTATATTCAAGGCACATCATCGAATTATGTTCCATTTTCACCATTATTGCTACTCTAATCCAAAAATAATCATCTTCCATTACATCTAGACTGTTAATACGAGGGTAAGTTGAAAAATAAGTTTCCCCTGTCGACTGTGGTCAGAGTTGTTGTTTGAGTCAAAAAATAGAATGAGACATTAGAGATATGACATACCTTTATTTTTCCACATAGGTACCAAGTACATTGAGACATTTGTCATATCGCTTGATAAGCTTCAAAAAGCCCTCCAGGAAAAAATCAGGGCTTTGCATATGGAAGAAGCGTTGAACGGCTTGTTTCACTTCAGTATTGCTTCCAAAGCACTTTCATCCGAGATTTTTCTTCAAAGCCGGAAACAGATGGAAGTCGCTTGGTGCGAGATCAGAACTGTATGGAGGATGGTGTAGGCGCTCCCAACCAAGAGTTGCAATATGGTTTTGCGTTGCCGTCGCCGAATGTGATCTGGCATTGTCATCCAACAGCAGAACGGCAGGCCGCTTTTTCCGAATCGCCTCTTTCAATTTCGACAGGCTGTCACAGTAGCGCATAGCATTGATGGTTTCAACCTCCAAAAAGTCCAGCAACAAAACTCTTTGGGCGTCCCAGAAAACTGTGAGGAGCACTTTACCTGCAGAGCGAGTTGTCTTGAACTTCTTTCGGATAGGTGATGACGGATGTTTCCACTCCATAGATGCGGCCTTCGATTCTGGTGTGAAATGGTGGACCCACATTTTATCCCCCGGTCACAATCCGAAACAGAAAGTCATTGCCATCTTCATGGTAACGCACGAGATGTCCCAGTCTGACCTCCATGCGTTGTTCCTTGTGTGTCGAGGTCAATTGTCGGGGCATCCATCGTGCTGACACTTTTCTGTATCGAAGAATGTCGTGGATGATGTTTTGAGCTCGCTCATGTGATATTCCAAGTTCTTCCGCTACTTCATCGATGGTGATACGCCGGTACGCTCTAATCATGTCATCCACCTTCCTGACATTTGCATCTGTAGTGGCCATGCGCGTCCGTCCAGCTCTCGGTATGTCCTCCACTTGCTGACGTCCATCACCGAATGTGCGACACCATCTCCGCACCATTTGCTTCGACATCACACCTGGCCCATAGACTTCCACGAGGCGGTTATGAATTTCTGTTCCTGATACTCCACGTGCCCATTCATAGCGAATAACTGCTCTCACTTCCTCCTTTGACCACGAATTCAAAACGTACCTTTTCTCCATACCTACCGGGGCTCAAATGAGAGGCTGGTCTCCGCTTTGCACAGGCACTGCAACAGCGCCATCTGCTTGATTTGCAGTGACCTCTACCCAATGGTGTATCGGTGACTTGCACATTTTCCTGCTGTGTCGCCTTTCGCCCATAGTCGTTCAACGCTTCTTCCATATGCAAAGCGTGAATTTTTCTTGGAGGACTTTTTGAAGCTTATCAAGCGATATGACAAATGTCTCGACATACTCGTACGAGAATAATAAAATAAAGGTATGTCATATTTTTAATGTCTCATTCTATTTTTTGACTTTCATACACAACTCTGACCACAGTCGACAGGGTAAACTTATTTTTCAACTTGCCCTCGTACATTTTTAAATTACTTCTGAACTATGTCGGATTTACTCACTATTTCAAACTGGCATGACACATTTGGCTACCTTTTGTAAATTTTATTTCACCTTCTTACATCCATGTACTCCATTGTTTTAAATTTTCTTCGAATGATTTATTGGATCATACATCTAAAGGCTGAACAATCTCCCTTGAATAACTGCCATGTATGTATTATACACCTTTAACAACTTACGTGTATTGATATTAAATGGGATCTGAACATGTTCCAAACTAAAAGACTTCCTGAATTCTAAATGGCAGCAGGGTGCTTTTCTCAAACATTTCTTATCCACAGTTTCACACTGTTTTTGATCCATCTATCTTATCTTATGAACATAAATGAAAACACCACTTGAGAGATTATATTTTAACATCTTCGTTCTTTTAAAAATAACCATGGTTTTAATTTTGTACCGATTGGCTAAAACCGGTTGGTTGGTTGGAAATATTTTTTAATTAATAACTTCAAAAGATAAGAGCTGTTAGCGGATGGAAAGTAGACATGAACGTTCGTTATTGCGTTTATTAGGCTGTCAGAAGAACAAGTTCGTACAATAGATATACAGGTAGTTCGGCGCTCGCAGGCGCCCTCTTGCAGATAACATAATCAAAATTCACATAAGGTGCGAACATGCCGCCCACCTTGAAATAATATTTCAACATTCAGTGGTTAAAAATTCAGGAAATTTAAATCACAATACAATATTAAAATCATGAATTAAAACTTAAATTGGTAATGGGCATAATTTTGTAATATTTCTTTTGACCATGCCATCTGAAGTCTTAATAGTCACAACCCTAACAATACTATATAGACCAGGATGTAACTGAGTAATTTTACCCATTTTCCATTTAGTTGGAGGTAAGTTATCCTCCTTTATGAGACACAGATCGTTAACTTGAAGATTTTTAGTTGGCAAAAGCCATTTTGGTCTTTGTTGTAATAGACACAGATATTCTTTGTGCCAACGCTTCCAAAATTATTGAACCATTTTTTGAATATGTTGCCATCTAGTGAGATGGGAAACTTCAATGTAATTTGGTTCAAGAATGCTTGTTAATGATCTACCAATAAGAAAATGACCAGCGTCAATGCTGATAAGTCATTTGGATCATTTGATAAACTTGTTAAAGGTCACGAATTAAGACAAGCTTCTATTTGTGTGAGAAATGTTTCAAATTTTTCATATGTCAATCTCACCTCACCAACTACTCATTTTAAATGGTATTTTGTTGATGTTATGCCAGCTTCCCAGAGTCCACCCATATGTGGCGCACCTGGAACGTTTAGATACCATTAAATGCCATTAACAACCAAATATCTGCTAACATTTTGGTTATAAGTTGCAGACCCAGCAAGCCTTTCAAATTCCATGAGTTTGCGTTTTGCTCCAACAAAATTGGAACCACAATCGCTATATATATTACTGCTTTTGCCTCTGCAGCAAATGAACCTCTTAAGAGCTGCAATAAAAGCATCTGCTGAAAGATCAGTCACTAATTCTAAATGAATAGCTTTCATCGTAAAACAAATAGAGCTATATATGCCTTGAATGACCTAGAGCCTTGACCCTTATTTGCTTTAATTTGAAAAGGACCTGCGTAATCTACTCCACAGCACAAAAATGCAGGAGCAGGGGAAACGCGACTAGGCGGCAAATCGCTCATCGATTAGTGACAGATGATCTAATTTTGCAACACTTTATACATTTCCTAACTAAATCTCTGATAACAGCTCTACAATTTATGATCCAATATTGTTCTTGAATGCAAGACTGCATAAGTTGTGGACCTGCATGCAAAAGTATTACATGGTAATGTCTAACAATAAGTTGAGTTAAAATGTGCCTCTTTGGAAGCAAAATTGGATGCCTAAAGCCATATGCAAGGTTTGCATGTCGCAAACGACCGCCTACCCTGAGAATACCTGAATTATCAAAAAATGGATTTAAAGATAAAATTTTGCTTGTACAAGATAATGATTGATTTCTGCTTAAAGTGTTAATTTCATTCTTAAATTCAACATATTGCATTAATTTAATTAACACATGCATAGCTTTAGTTAATTCAATAGTTTTTTAAAATCCACTTACCTGATCTGGATTTTTACAGTTATTTACAAACCTCAGATATAATGCTATATAACCAGGGTTCATAGCCACATTTTAGTTAAAAAAATAAGCACCTACAAACACTTTTCAAGCACATTTTAAGAAAAAAAATAAGCACCTGTCTAATTACATTATACACAACTGCATAAACTTAAAAGAAAAATTAGACTTGTAATTTAAAATATGAGCAATGCAATATTTATTACGAGAATGAGAATTATCTCAATGATGGAAAACAATTAACTTTTTTTTTTTTTAATTTTAAATGACAGTTCTTACAGAATTAGTTTACGGTGAGAGAAAAAAAAACTATGCAGAACTAAACTATATTACAAAATTTAATGATGATATTTCAGTTGAAAATATAGAAAATAAATAATAATAAGCCATATTAATTGTATTCGTTTGGCACCTAATAATAAATACAATTTATTTTTCCACTCATTAATATTTAAATAATTTAACTTAAATCAAAATTCTGAACATTTTCTAAATTTTCATTGCATAACAGTTTTCCCTTAACATATATCCCAAGCAAAGTAATTTAAGCAAAAAAGAGGCACATTTCTGAAATCAGAAGACGGGTAATTGCTTCATTCAGTCATCCTTTAACAGTAAAAGCTTAACTAACCCGCATACTCGGAAATTCC